ATAATGACTGTCACCGAGTCATCATTTTGAGAAAAAGGCCTTCAAAGTTTCCTCTTCTCCGGAATCCATCGATCTGATTGATTATTAGCGGAGCAAATGATCAAAATAGTCCGGAGGGAAAATATTTCCGTTTGGATTACTGGTCTGGGGGAAACTCGCGAGTGTGTGAGTGTATGTGTGTGTGTGTGTTTGTGTATTTTTGCGTTTGTGTATATTGTGTTTGTTTCCCGGGGAAAACACTCACGAGAAACACCGGCTGTTTTTATGCTTGCTGTGACGTTAAATTACTCCGTTCTCTGCTCGTAATTATGCCGTTACAAGCTTCATAGTTGTATTTATCATCTAAATTTGCCGAAACAAGTTTAATATTCTGAAAGCCAAGACTTTGTTTAATTGAAATCAGATGAAAACAAACTGTAACGGACCCTGCCGTGTTATCTATGATTACTTATGCCTTACATTCATAATTTCAGCCGGAGGGAGGGGGAGCTGCGCTACGGAACAGCAGATTGCGATTGAGAGGTGCCTGTCATCTTCCCTTTACAAGCTTCACAAATGTATTTATCGTGTGATTTTGGAAATAAAAGTTTCATATTCTGAAAGCCAAGACTTTGTTTATTTAAAATCAAACAAAACACCCGAACCCCGAAAAAATAGTTTTTTCCGCAAATCCACGTTTATTTTTAAATGAGCCGTTGCGACATCCGACTGATTTCGATAGAGCGGGTCACATATACAAGTTATACAGAGTACTCCGGACTTCAGGTTTGTGATGCGATGCGGACACAGATGTCGGGACCAGCCACTCACCAAACCAAAAAGCTTTTTTACATACAAAACCAACAGTATTCATATCTATATTTTGGGGCGGAGAAGTGTTGACTTTTCCCTTCCCCTTTCATTCCAAAGCAAATGAGAGAGTCCGTGAGGAGGAGCTGTCTGAGCTGCTCACCTCCCCCAAGTGTTTTTACTGGCTGGATTCACTTCTGGTCGGGTTCAATAGTTCTGACCAGAACGTAAAATTCCAAAGTTTCACAAGGTCAAAAGTCAATCCTTATCTCTGCCTCGATCTTAACTCCATTCCTTTCCCATGGGAGTTTTTCACATAAACTATTCCCTCTCCGACATTTAAACCTTTGTCCAGATATTTAATGATGTCTTTAACGACCTTAAAAACAACATCTGGTGTAGAGGAGAGGAGATGTGTGTGTGTGAAACAAGATCCCTGGGTCAGTGAGTTGTAAGAGAGAATATCATTTCTATATATGTGATTACCCAAAACCGTTGTGATTACCTAAAACAGTTGTGATTACTTAAAACAGTTCAAACAATACATGTTCACTAAAATACAATTCAAAATAATACATGTTTACTTCAATACAGTGTAGAATCATATCTTTTTACTTCATTAACTACATAGCTAGCAGTGAGTGAGCGTTCAGACACCGGCGCACAAACTCAAACGGACTCGTGTGCCTGACTCTACTAACAGGCTTTCATGATTCTGTTTAGATATGCAAGTATAAGCCATGATAGCTTATTTTATTAACACGCTAATTTGATATGAAAATCAATGGAGGCTGAGTTAACTTTGTAGGAAAACCTACCGTCCATGCCCCTGAGCTGTGTTTTATTTGTTAACTTAAATTAACTTATTTTTCATTTCCTAAAACATTTATTTTCCTCTCATATTAACAGTGTGGATCATTGAGACAGCGTGGTGTCCAGAGGTCTTATCCCGTTTTCCCACTTCCTCTGAGGGGACAGCACGGAGGGGGGGCATGAAGAAAGACCTGCACCAGCTTCATCCACGCTGGGCGTTGCTGTTATCACTTGCTCAGTGTCATTTCATTTGACCAAATGTCTTTACATATACATTTAATAGATTTTATTATTATCCACCTTTTTGTTTGATGTCCTTTTATTTAAAACATTCTTTGAGACTTCATCTTCTGGTTAAAATTTCAATAAATGTAATTTGTATAATCACTCTTTTGTCTTTATTCTACATGAAAATGTTAGAGATTCCATTCAAATCTGTTGATTATTCATATCTTCCTCAGGCTAGGAATAGTATGTCGAGTTTTTAATGCTAAATGTATATCATTTTCTCACAGGATATAGAATGAGACAGCACAGTTTGTATCCATTGTGTATGAATGCTTCAGCTCTTCAGACCAACATAGTAAGATGTGAGCATGGTCCTAATTGTGTTGGTATGCAACCTAGGTCTAGTCTGTTTAATAAATATGGGCTCAGAACAGTCTCATAATACACACATGCACACAGAAGGATTCACACTTGTATTTCATGATCCGCAAAAGGATTCACACTTGTATTTCCGGATCCACACTTGTGTTTTTCAATGCACACACAAATGTGTTCCGTTTCATATACATGTAAATAAAATCCAAATACAGAAAAAAGTTTTACATATATATTTTTGATCCTCATTTGTTTTCTGTTTAAAACCGCTGCACCTGCAAGCACAAACCGCTTTCTGTGCATGGATCGCTGTGCATTCGTGTGTGGGTTTTTTGAGACTCCCCTGACAGAGCGTCCACACAGCAGCGTTAAAAAAATCTTGGAGGTGGGCGTATCTGAAGCTTGGGGATTTTTTGCGAGCAACGCGACCAACAACCAATCACATGAATCTCCCGCCCCCGACATACGAAGCAAAAAAGCCTGAAGTAAACTGGATATAAACTCCCCAAACAGGCGAAAACCTACCACTGTCTCTGCCACCTCCCTCCATGCCTGGCTCCTCCGGTTTATATCCCGGTAGGTAAATAGGGACTGGTCATAAAGCACCGGGTGATTCCCTACCGCTATAATTAATTTCTCATCCATTTTTTGGAATATGAGGAAATGACCTGCGGTATGTCTCTCCCAGCATACACGCGGTTTGATTGGCTAGCGCTTGAACTGTCAGATTTGCATAAACGGGATTTGATTGGCTGACGCTTCCACCTCAGCTTCAAAAGTTGAACATTGCTCAACTTTGAATCCTGAAAATCCTGAAAATCTCCGCTCTGCTGCCCACAATGCAGTTCGGCGAAAAGTGAGGCAAAGTGACGTCACCCCATTCAAACTGAATGGGCAGAAGCGTTCCAAGATTTTTTTAACGCTACTGTGTGGACGCTCCGTGACGGTGACCCGATTCGTACTTGTAATTTTTTCTATCTATAGCCAATCAGATGTCTCCTCAATTCTAAGCCAATCACATGAGCGCGCCCCCACGAGGGTAGATTTCTTGCGTTCATGACGTAGCGCTTCATGTACGCATTTTGCGCTGTCCGGAGCTGACAGGTCCATGGAGCTTGCCTGCAGGCGCTAATCTCAGGACAACTCCACTCTCAGTACATTGCCACTTTCCGAACAGGAAATGCACGCAAATACAAGCCTTTATATTATTAAGGTACAGTGCCACTTTCCGAACCATTAATGAATGCTTGTGTACACAAAAACGGCAGGCAAAACCGTTTTAAATGTGTGTTTCCTGTATGGCGAATACAGCTGCTTTATTTATGTCTGTATGAAGTTGTTGTGAGTGTGGAGGGAGCAGCTACAGGTTAGCTTAGCCTAATCGATCAGTGCACTACGAAGCCAGTGCTAGACAGTGAACTGTCAACGGGGGGGAGCCCCGCCGGTCATTATCGGCCGATATTCACTCTTAATAGTTTGATCGGTGCTCTCTATAAAGGCCGAACAGGAGAGCTGGATCTGATCGATATGGACATAAACGCGAGTGAAGTTTTAGGGAGCTGCATGAGAAACTGACGGGCTGTCAGGAGAGAGGGAGGGAGAGAGGAAAAGAGGGGATCCGTTACTCCCATGTTATTAGCCATATCCGGTCATAGTCCGGTAATTACCTGCTAACGGAAACTCTGCTACACAATTCTTCTTCTTCTTATTATTATTATTGAAACAAATTTGTCCGGTAAAATTAATTCTGTCCGCGGAAACCCTGCTCCGGACAGCGCAAAATGCGTATATGAAGTGTCATGAACGCAATAAATCATACCCTCGTGGGGACGCGCTCATGTGATTGGCTTAGAATTGAGGAGACATCTGATTGGCTATAGATAGAAAAAATTACAAGTACGAATCGGGTCACCGTCAGGGTAGTCTCAAAAAACCCACACACGAATGCACAGCGATCCATGCAAAGAAAGCATTTGTGTTTGCAGGTTCAGGGGATTTAAACAGAAAACAAAAATGTGAATAATACAAAAATACATATGTAAAACTTTTTTCTGTATTTGAATTTTATTTAAATAAAAACGGAACACATTTGTGTGTGCATTGAAAAACACAAGTGTGGATCCGGAAATACAAGTGTGAATCCTTTTGCGGATCATGAAATACAAGTGTGAATCCTTCTGTGTGCATGTGTGTATTATGAGACTGTTCTGAGCCCATAAATAAAGCCAATCTGCCACTTTTATATTGCAGAATTTGTTAAATTAAAGCAGTCTTTAATTGTTTGTCCTAAACATAGCAATATATGCTTTTGAAATGTAACATGTCTTTGAAAAAAATAACAGTATACAGTTTATATTGTGTATCACCTTTAGCTTGAAAATACATAGATGTGTTTTTTTAATCTGCTGCATGAGTTGCACTGTATGATCTGTGGTGTAGTGGGCTGTCACTCAAAAACTGAGTAGACAATGGGGACACACCCCTGAAAGGCCCGCCCACCTGGGACGTTTGTGTCTGAATTGAAAACAAAAAATGAGGGAGCACAAACGAGAACAAATGATTCTGAGAAAGTGTTGCTTTATCTTTATGAAACACAACTAATCCCATACAACTCACAGATGTAACCTTGCTTTGAGAAAAAAGATTATTAATTTACCCCTTTTAGAAGGGAAGTTATTGTCATTTGTTCTGGGAATGTCATTTTCGAGCCTGAGACCTGAAAAACAGGCTCAGGGTTTGACAGGTTAAACTGCGCGCGCGCCAACAGTATAGGGCGCTGGAGTGAAAGAGGACATTCCAATTCATACCTGTGGACTCCTCTGTCCTTGCGCTCTCAGTCCCGCTATCAGTATGAGAGTAGCAGGAATAAAACAACCAGTCCTCATATTTATGATCATTGGTCTTATCTTCTACGTGCGCCGCGTGTATGTAAAGAGTGGATATGATGAGGATACAGCGGGGTCCAAAAAAGAGGTTGAACACCCTCGGGTGATCAAGAGTCTATCTGACCTGGAGACAAGCGTCAGCCACCTCTGTGAGTCAAGGAAATTATTACTAAGTTCATGTTACTCACATTTTATGTTTTTATCGGGTTTAATCAGTCCGTTACAAATTAAGATGGGGAAAGTGTAAGGAAGTTATGTGTGATTGGAACTTAACTTATAGACATTATGTGCTTTTATTTTCATGTTTGCATGCTCATTTCATTCAAATATATCTGTGATTATATATTGATTAACATAAAAGGGCGCGAGAAAATTGCAACTTTTTTAAAAGGTCAAACCAAAATAGGAAACAAGAGTGAAATAGTGAAAGTGCTTGTCAGGGGTCAGCAATACATTTCAACCTACCTAAAATGTGCTGTTTTGCCCATATCTGAGCTTATTTTGTGTCACTATTGGGTGTCAAAAATGGCTTAAAATGTGCCAAATCTGGTTCAGGAAGTCAAAATAGTTACAGGTACATCTCAATACATTTGAATATCGTGGAAAAGTTGATTCACTTCAGTAATTCTATTAAAAAAAGTGAAACACATATATTATATAGATTCATTTCACACAAAGTGAATTATTTCAAGTGTTTATATGTTTTAATCTAGATGATTAAGTTTTACAGCTAATGAGAACCCAAAATTCAGTATCTCAGAAAATTAGAATTTTTAAAATAGTTAAATATTTTAGACTCACATTGTCACACACTCATCAGCTAATTAACTCAGAACACCTGCAAAGCTTTCCTGAGCCTTCAAATTATCTCTCATCTGGCTGATGACAGCGACAGCTGATGCATCTGGATCGACTGTCAGTCGCTGCAGAGAGTTTTGACGGAGTTAACTCAGCAGTGAGTTACCTGTTTCACACACACCTGTTACATGTTTCTCTGTACTGTGTCATGCTGGGAGGACCTGTTCTTCCGGCAGAATGCGTTTATATTATGAATTAAGTTCCTCTTGTCACGATCTGTCTGTGTTGTGTTTTGTCTTGTCTTTTTCTGTCTCTGGTTTCCTGTTTTTTGTTTTGAAATGTTTTCCTCCTTGTGTCTTGTCTGATCCTACTCCGTGTGTTTGCCTTCCCGTCGTTAGTTTCCCTGGTGTGTCTGATTGTGCCTCATTGTGTTCACCTGTTGCCCTTGTGTTTCTGCCTACCCTGTCCAGCTGTGTCTTGTCCTGTGATTACCCTTCTGTGTATTTAGTCTTGTCTTCCCCTGTGCTCCATGTCTGTTCGTCGTCATTTCATGTCCCTGCTACCTGTCGTCTATGCTTGTCCATGTCTCCTGCCTGTTCCCGTCTGTAAGTTTGTTCCTGTCTGTCGTGTTCCCCGGTTTTGTTTCTGTTTATTAGTTTCTTGTTTTTTCATGCCTTCAGCTTTTGATAATAAAGCCACTTTTTGTTAACAACCTTTTTGTATTTTTTAACTGCACTTGGGTCCTATTTCCCCAAACCTGACACCTCTGGCACAAATAAGTGCCATGGAATGCTCCTTAAGATGGCGCACAAAAAACAATTTCTGTTGAGAGCGAGGATCAAGGAGCGAGGAAATTACAAATAAGAGACTGGGCATGTACCCCGTGCATCAAAAGCCACCATGCACAGACGTATCCAGGACATGGGCTCCAAGTGTTGCATTCCTCATGTCAAGCCACTCCTGAACCAGAGACAACGCCAGAAGCGTCCTACCTGGGCTAAGGAGAAAATGAACTGGTCTGTTGCTCAGTGGTCCAAAGTCCTCTTTTCAGATGAAAGTACATTTTTGCATTTCATTTGGAAACAAAGGTCCCAGAGTCTGGAGGAAGAGTGGAGAGGCACATAATCAAAGATGCTTGAAGTCCAGTGTGAAGTTTCCACAGTCAGTGATGATTTGGGGAGCCATGTCATCTGCTGGTGTTGGTCCACTGTGTTTTATCAAGTCCAAAGTCAACGCAGCCGTCTACCAGGACATTTCAATGCACTTCATGCTGCCTTCTTCTGAAAAGCTTTAGGGAGATTCTGAATTCATTCTTGGCATCTGCCCACACTGCCAAAAGTACCCAAACCTGATTGAATAACCATGGAATTACTGTGTGTGCTTCATTGGCCAGCAAACTCGCCTGACCTGAACCCCATAGAGAATCTATGGAGGAAGATGAGAGGCATCAGACCCAACAACGCAGACTGAAGGCCGCTATTGAAGCAACCGTGGCTTCCATTACATTACATTACATTACATTTCATTTAGCTGACACTTTTATCCAAAGCGACTTACAATTACCAATTACAGGGACATTCTCCCTGGAGTAACTAAGGGCTAAGTGCCTTACTCAAGGGCACACTAGTGGTGGTGTTCCTGGTGGGATTTGAACTCAAATCCATCACACCTCAGCAGTGCCACAAGCTGATCGCCTGCAAATTACTGCATGGATGCAGTAATTTGTGCAAAAGGAGTCCCAACCAAGCACTCGGAGTAGAAACATGACCATACTTTTCAGAAAGCCGACATTTGTGCATTTAAAATCCTTTTTTTATTGGTCTTATGTAATATTCACATTTTCTGAGATACAGAATTTGGGTTTTCAAGCTGTTAGCATCAAGATTAAAACAAATTAACACTTGAAATAATTCACTTTGTGTGAAATGAATCTATATATTATACGAGTTTAACTTTTTAAATAGAATTACTGAAGTTAATCAACTCTTCCACGATATTCTTATTCATTGAGATGGACCTGTATTATCATGGTTCATAGAACAAAGTATTCTCATTTTGCATTTTGCTTGTTTTGTCAAGACAACCTACTCAAAGCTTTTGAGCAGAAGCAGGACACCATGCAGAAATTGCTCGAAGAGGACGTAGAGCGAAGGAGAAAAGCTGCAGAGGTCGTACAGCCACCAGTCCAAAAACTCCCAGAGCAGAAAGAGGAACCTAAATCAAAGATCGAGGAAAAACAGGAGGCCCCTGTAAAGAAAAAGTCAAATAAACTCTTCCCTGACTCCCCCCTGTTCAAGGAGTGGGGTGGGAATCTGTCTGAGGATGAGCAAAGAGAGGCACAGAGTTTGTTTGATAAGTACGGCTACAACGTGTTTCTGAGTGATCGCCTTCCTCTAGATCGTGCTATTGCAGATACCAGGGATAAAAGGTACGCATTGTTATCTCCTATGAGGCCATCACTACTGTGTCACTTTGTACACAAAGAAGAGTTTGCTGATAATCCTTCACCTTTTTGTTACCATGAGATCTGTTTGGATTAAACATTTACACAGCTTGTTAAAAAGACAATACCTTCTGTTTCTGAATAGGTGTCTTGAAAAGACTTACCCAAAGGATCTGCCAAGCATCGGGGTGGTGTTGATCTACCTGAATGAGGGCCTTTCGATCCTCAAAAGAGCCCTGCGCAGCATCATCGACCGCACCCCTAAAAACCTGCTGAAGGAGATTATTTTGGTGGATGATAATAGCTCGAATGGTGTGTATGTTTCAAGTGAATCAGATTACGCTACTGCTAAATCCTGTTTCTTTGTGCAGATGCCCATGCTGCTGGAACATGTCTTTTAGTTTTTAAATATATTGCTGCTTTTAGACTGGAATCCTGATTTTTTTAATCAGTTTTTTTATATGAATATACTTTTCTCCGAGGTCTTGTAAATCTCCCAGAAGGCATTTTGTCAAATGATCCTCCAGCTTTGAAGCAGTAGTTTCATACTTTAGGAAATACACCTCTTGGCAAGAGTAAGTTCAGAAGATGAATGCTACTGTCATATCTGTAACGTAAAATATTAAATTAGGATGGCAACTGGTTATTTTAGCTTTGAAGAAACACTAGCATGTAAACTCAATATAATTCATAATTTTAAACACATGTTGTTGATCATAAGTAGGGTGACCAGGTCATGTAAATGTAATGTTGACACATGAACTGTCAACGGGGGGGGGGGGGGGGGGGTTGGGGTTGGGTACACTGTGGACCTCTGTCGCCTGTCAGCGCAACTTACATAATGCAGTTTAAAACATATAATAATGGGCGGTGCCGGCCGTCAGCGAACCGAGCCGGCCTTTCTCCGCAGAAAAGCGTTTTGGCCAATCAAAATGAAATATGCGGGACATCGTCTCAATTTGCGGGACGCACCAAAAGTCGTGAAAATGCTGTGCAGTCCCGCGCAAAGCGGGACATCTGGTCACCCTAATCATAAGCTGGATACGACAAAAACGAGAATTCGTGTTGCTACAGCTCCAGCACTTAACCACCAATAAAACCACACATTTTAACATTTGTAAGTGTAAACAAATATATTAGTCTGCTTTAGAGTTCCTGCAATGTGTACTTTGTGACCTTTGGACAACTTACATAATGCAGTTTAAAACATATAATAATGGGCGGTGCCGGCCGTCAGCGAACCGAGCCGGCCTTTCTCCGCAGAAAAGCGTTTTGGCCAATCAAAATGAAATATGCGGGACATCGTCTCAATTTGCGGGACGCACCAAAAGTCGTGAAAATGCTGTGCAGTCCCGCGCAAAGCGGGACATCTGGTCACCCTAATCATAAGCTGGATACGACAAAAACGAGAATTCGTGTTGCTACAGCTCCAGCACTTAACCACCAATAAAACCACACATTTTAACATTTGTAAGTGTAAACAAATATATTAGTCTGCTTTAGAGTTCCTGCAATGTGTACTTTGTGACCTTTGGACAAGGCCATGCTCTGCAAACGTATTTTACAGTCTTGATGCTAAGCTATCCAGGTGTTCGCTGTAAAACAATATTTCCAAGATGGACACAATAGTGGCATCAATCTTCTAATCAAACTCTGCAAGATAACATAAGCTAACATAACTGAATTGACACCAGTTAAGTCAACAGACTAGAGTTTTGTAAAAAAGGGTGGAGAATGTACTTTAAATGTTAGTGCTGTGCAGTGGCGGCTCCAGAGTATTTTTGTTGGGTAATCTATGGTAGGGCTAACGGTACGGCCACACAGCGGCGTGCGTTGAAGCTTGCTGACGGGCGTGTCTGAAGCTCGACCAACAACCAATCACATGAATCTCCCGCCCCGGACACACAAGCACGCGGTTTGATTGGCTAGAGCTTGTACTGGCATATGATGTGATTGGCTGACGCTACCGTCAAAGCTTCAAAAGTTGAACATTGCTCTACTTTTGAAGCGAGCAACCCGAGCAAAGCGAAGCGACGGAACCACAATGCAGTTCGCAAAGCGTGACGTCACCCCATTCAAAGTGAATGGGCAGAAGCGTTGAAGCTTCAACACACGCCGCCGTGTGGACGGGCCGTAACCCATACAGTGGTGGGGCACAAGTCAGTATTTGCAATGTAATTACATACACGCTATATCGCCCCCCTTGACAGTGAAACGCAATGCGTGAGGTTTAGATTATTTCCCTGTCTCAATCAAAATGGAACTGTATGAAATAAAAAGGCACATTTGTCTTGTAGTAAATAAAAAGGGCGACCTGGAGCCAATCCTGCAATTTCCCCACAGGTGAAAGAGTTGACATGCTGAAAACCTAACCTCTGCAGGGGGGTCTGGGGGGATAGTCCCCCAGGAGATTTTTTTGAAATACTAACATAAAATACACATTCTGGTACTCTCTTGAGAAGAAAAAAAATGAATCTATTACTACACGACATTTAAAAAAATGAATGCCATTGTTACTTTGTTCTGAAAGCTGAACCTGCTGCTCCTCACAAAGAGGAGAGAGGAGAGAGGAGAGAGGAGAGAGGAGAGAGGAGAGAGGAGAGAGGAGAGAGTCTGTGTGAATTACTTTACTTTGTTTGGAAAGCTGAACCTGCTGCTCCACAGAGAGAGAAGAGGAAAGAGGCTGTGTGAATTACTTTACATTGTGGATAAGGGTGGATAGCCCCCATTGTTCTGTGTGTCAAAATGAAAGACAGCCCACACACCTATCAATCATCAAACCGTGGGGTCTTATTTCATTACGTGTTGATGTATCCATGGATGTATAAAGAGTAGTTCTACCGCAAAATTATTCTCCGTCGGGACTTCCTGCAACAACACCACGCCGTTATCGTGATTCTGATTGGCCAGAAGACATTAGCAAAGATGTTTTATTAAGAAGACATCACTACGTGACAAAAGTTTTCAAAACTGTTTCTAGTCTTCGGCATTTCAAGTGGCTACTGACATCAATCTTACTAGCTGCTGTCTGTGCAATTTACTCGGCGCGAGTTGGCGGACTTTTTTTTGCTTACTTTAACATAATCTTTCATGGTGGGGCTAAGGTGGGGCTAAGCCATTTCTTGGTATGGCTGTAGCCTACCCCAGCCATACCCTGGAGCCGCCACTGGTGCTGTGGCACTGGATTGCAATTTACTAATACGACTCACATTTGTCCATCATAGAATGAATAAAACATCATACGCTTTTCAGTATAATTTGAGTAGATCATCAATAACTAGTGGTTAATCCCCCTTGCTTTGGAAAAACCAAATCTGTCACGCGCCTGTTCTTCCCTAATGTCATAACATATTCCCACTTTATCCTCTCAATTCAAGAGGACCTGAAGGGTGACTTTGACGTGTATGTGAAGTCGCTTGAGCAGCAGAACCCAGGCCTCCGCTTTACAAGAGTGAGGCACAATGAGCAGCGAGGCCTTTCATACGCCAGGGCTTCTGGGTGGAGGGCTGCTACTGCTGACGTGGTGGCCATCCTGGACGCACACATTGAAGTCCATGAAATGTGGTAAGAGTGTGGCAAAAATAAATCCTTTTCAATGTTAGTTTATTTATAACATTAACAGTAAGTATGTTATGTTTGTAGAGAAAAATATTTTTACTCCTGAAAGGTGATAATGGTTCTGGATGTCGTTTGGTAGAAACATTTGTAAAACTTTTAAACTACTCTCAACAATGTGCTCGGACGCACTACAAAGTTTATATTGGCTGCCGATGTCTTTTATACATAAATACTGTATGTGTCCCCGGTGTGTAAGGGAACTCACAAAGTGTAAGAAAACAAAACCTTCTCTCTTTTCCTCCGTACCCAAATCTCTAAAAACGGGGGTACAATGGAGCTGCCGTTATGACGTAATATCGGAAATGTGGGCTGGCTTTAAACCCACGGCCCTATCAGAAACGTCGCTATCAGAAACAATGCGTAACGTGTTTTCGCTAAAACTCAGAGCTAACGCTGTACTGGAGAGAGTATGGGTAAAGAAGCAGTAAATAAAAAAAGGAACTCACCCTTAAGAGAGAAAGCATTTGAGCTCCATACTGTTTCAGAAATAATCCTCTATGTGGTTTTTGGCATTTAATCACGGCAGCATTTAGCTGAGTATCTGGGTAGAATTCTGCATAAGCTCCCCCTCCTTTTTTTCAATTTTTTTGTGATTCCCAGAATCAGCACTTCTCTAACAGGGCTGAAATAGAGGGGTACGAGGCATGGCTAGAATGGGTGATCTGTTTGTTATTTTGAGCAAAACATTTCATATACATGTTTTTATATATGAGACCTATAATATATGCTCGACAAATGATCAAAGTGAAGAGTGAACCTGCTCTCCTCCCTTCCTTTCACTCATGTAGGGCTGAACCTCTGCTGACGCAGATCAAGGGGGATCGGACCGTGGTGACGTCCCCTGTGTTTGACAAAGTAAACTATGATGACCTTACAGTTACTCCATACGAACCGGCCGCACATGCCTTCGACTGGGCTTTATGGTGCATGTATGAGAGTTTCTCCGACGATTATTACAAACTCATGGACGGCTCACTGCCTGGAAAGTAAGTAAAAGTGTATCCAGTCTAGTTTTACATGTCTCAAACAAATATAACATGGATGAGGCTTTCTTGATGATTTGAAATGAAACTGATGTATTCCACTGTAGAATGTTTTAAATGATACACGACTCACAGTTTACTCCTTTTATTTCAGGAGTCCATCTGTCATGGGAATCCTAGTGGCTGACAGGAAGTATCTAGGAGAAATTGGAGTTCTCGATGAGGGAATGAAAGTGTACGGTGGTGAAAATGTGGAGCTGGGAATTCGAGTGAGTAAGCGTCACCTATCCAACATCAAATCTGATGCAGTCTCAGGCTTTAAGCACCATTACCCCTGTCACTTTGTTTTAATGATTGTGAGGTGAACAGCTATGTTACAGAGGATAGAGATGTGGACAGTGGCTATTTCTTTATTGTTAACTTCCTGGAGTCTTTGCTGGTTGTCTGGCAACTTTGCCAGGAAGAGATGGTGTCCTGCAAACTGTGTGCTTTGCGCCTGCACTAATATTATTGATGACAGAACAATTATTCTATTTGATAAATTAGTATAAAGGATACCGTGTTTTGTTTTTTGCTCGTATAGGTGTGGACATGTGGAGGCAGTATTGAAGTTGTTCCATGCTCCAGGATCGCCCACATTGAGAGGGCCCACAAGCCCTACATGCCTGATCTGTCTGTAGCCATGAGGAGAAACGCCATGAGGGTAGCAGAAGTCTGGATGGATGAATACAAACACAATGTCAACTTGTTCTGGAACTTGCCATTTGAGGTACTTCATTTGTGGGCAAACTAAATTTGGCACTTTTGTGGACACTTAGAACTAAAAGTAAATAGTGAAAAAGTGGCTGTTTTCATTGTGAAATGGCCCCCAAATTAAAACGCATCTCACCATTGTGTGTAAACGAGTTGAAAAAAGCATAATGCTGCCGTCCCAAAGAAGTGTGCAGTCATGTGTATGTGTGAAAGAGGGCAGGAGACAGCTATTGTAACAATTATTTTGACCTTTACTTATGGAAACTTCTGAAGCAACTTTGATGGCAAACACTGATGGTTTATTTGGAGCTTCGGCCGGAGAATTCACAAGACAAAGTCAAAGGTCAAAGTCAGCTTTATTGTCAAGAATTCTACATGTTGTACATCCAGAAATCTCGAAATATCGTTTCCCGCAGTCCTACAGTGTGACATATATACATCAAACAAAAAACAAAAAGGGCCTAGATAAACATGGTATACATTAAACAAAACAAAGGGCCTAGATAACCGGGGTATACAGATTAAAATGTTAATAATATATTTAAGTGTTCAAAGTACAGTTTCAGTGCAGTAGCAGCGGAGATGGGCCGAAAAGTGGTGTGTGTGTGTGTGTGTGTGTGTGTGTGTGTGTGTGTACTTGTTTTCATGACAAATAAGGACAATTTTATGATAACACACCTTCACTATCAGGACACTTGGAAAAATGAGGACATTTTTGGCGTCCTCATTTTTCTGAACTCACTACAGTGTTTTAAACTCCCCCAAATACCCCTACACCAAATATCTTCAACGTCCTAAAATATCACAATTTCATGACATGAAGTGTGTGAGTGTGTTTATGGATTTTGCTCATCTATGAATACGCCAACTAGTGGTCACTTCTGGAACTTAACACACTTTTCACACACTTTAGTCACGTGACTAAAAAGGTCCTCATAAATCTCATATTTTTCAGGTTCAAACACACTCCAATGTTTTAAGCTGGTTTTAGTATTACTGCAATATATATGTATTTCCATGGACTCAGAGACAACTAAAATCATCAACAATTAATTACTGCTGATTTTAGTCACCTGCCTTATAATCTAGAGAACGAGTTATTCCATCATTACTTTTATTTACATCGAATAGCCAGATAAGCTAATGTTAGCTTATTAGCTTAACGTCGCTAACCGCATGCAAAGGACCCCTGCCACATGGAAGATTCTCTCGACAGAACTGGAAGGATTGCACACTAAATTGAGGTAATTCATTACTTTTTCTAAGATGTTGTTACTGACGAGTAACAAGATATTATTTTAAAATGTGAATTGTAACAGTGGTTTCCAATTTAACACCAAATTGATAGATATTCAGTAGACCTAGTAAGTAATGTTATTTGTGGAGCTTACCGTGTTTTAGTAATTTTATAACAGTATTTACCTTTGAAGACGCTTTGTCTGTGCTCTTGTAACATTATTTGTTGAGGTGTTAAAGTAACTTGAAGTTACACAATTCTAATTGCAGTTGCCCAGGGTTTGCACTGAACAGTTAGCTTATCAAGCTAATGGGATCCTGCATTAGTGAGAACATGAGTTATTAAGTTATGATTAAAGAATAAATAATACCATTTTATAAAACATAATTGATACAAATAAATTAGAAATGTATTTTCTATTTGTTCTTGTTGACTTTTTGTCATTCTTCCATGTAGATGTTTGCTAATTAAATGGCGAGTGTAGAGTGTGTGTGTTACATCGTCCTCATATTGTTGGGTAGCAGATATTGTACAGTTCAAACTATTTCTATAGAGTCTTGAGTTACAAGCCCAGATCCTCATGTGAATTGTTTTTACTAAAATGTGTGTCCCCTACATGAAAAGTCAATGGATTTCTGACACGTTATTGTCACATGATTTATCTCAGTCCAAAACACTCACAAATAATGACTATCATCCAATATTGTTTTAACTACATCATAACTAACTTCTAATGCATTCATAACCATACAATCCTGTTGTAATGTTATTGTATGGCCCCAAAACACATTACACAACATATTGCACACGTTCAGGTTCAAGTGTTAGTGTACATATTCTTTGTGAAAGGTCAAGTTCCTGTGGGGGGAGGGGGGCCAGAGGGATGGGAGACCAGGTGCATGTTGCGCAAAAAATATTGCTACAGTGGATGAAGGGGGTGGGGGTGGGGTGTCTAAAGTCAAAGATGAATCTTGATTGGGCCAAATTTGACCCCGAGTCACCCACAACAATTCTGCTCGGTCTAACCAGACCCGAACACCAAATTATACACTTATTTTTTAGAGACCTTCAGACTTGGCTAAAATTGTCAAAATCAGTTTTGTAGTGTTTATATAGCTGTTGTGGAGGATATCATGATGCCTTGTTCCGATAAAAAAACTAGATCGTAGTTATTATATAATTTGAATTTGAAACGGGTCACGGGAGACCCGAACACAACATAAGGGTTAATTAAACATTTACTGTAGACTATTTCTATTTAAGGTAAATTCATATCTCAATCAAGTCCAATGCCTACATAAAATGCCTTTTTACCTAATTAAAATTAATATATTGTTTAATAAATGTAGAATCTCAATATAACTGTTACTTGTTTCTAAATATCATAGTAGAAAGATATAGCCCTACCATTTGATAGCAGTAACTACCTCTTAAAACATGAAAATGATCTTTATTGTCCCTAAATTCTGTGTGTTTTCTCCTTTTGCCAATGTGTTTTCCAATTGAACCTAATGTGTATCAGTTTACATGATCTAATTAATAGGGAAGTAGATCCATACTTATTACTATGGGGGTTTCAGGTTTTTTTAACAACAACAGCACACCTCAGAAGTCAGGAATGCTGACTTTATGTAACTTCAGTCGTCATGTCCTCATTTTGTTTTAGGTTGTGTAGTCATGATGTGTTTTAGAGGGCGTCCCCATATGTTACAACCCAACGAGTTTAGAGTGTGTGTGTGTTACATCGTCCTCATATTGTTGGATAGTAGATATCGTCTTTAGGTTGGGTAGTCATGATGTGTTTCAGAGGACGTCCCCATATGGTACAACCCAACGAGTGTAGAGTGTGTGTGTGTGTGTTACATCGTCCTCATATTGTTGGGTAGTAGATATCGTCTTTAGGTTGTGGAGTCATGATGTGTTTTGGTGGACGTCCCCATTTGGTACAACCCAACGAGTGTAGAGAGTGTGTGTGTTACATCGTCCTCATATTGTTGGATAGTAGATATCGTCTTTAGGTTGTGTAGTCATGATGTGTTTCAGAGGACGTCCCCATATGGTACAACCCAACGAGTGTAGAGAGTGTGTGTGTTACATCGTCCTCATATTGTTGGGTAGTAGATATCGTCTTTAGGTTGGGTAGTCATGATGTGTTTTGGTGGACGTCCCCATTTGCTACAACCCAACGAGTGTAGAGTGTGCGTGTTTCATCGTCCTCATATTGTTGGCTAGCAGATATTGTACAGTTCAAACTATTTCTATAGAGTCTTGAGTTACAAGCCCAGATCCTCATGTGAATTGTTTTTACTCAAATCTGTGTCCCCTACATGAAAAGTCAATGGATTTCTGACACGTTATTGTTGTATTTTAAATTGCAGAAACTGAATGACATGATCACGGCTCAGCCTTTAGCTGACTCTGAAGCGAGCCAGAGATCCACCTCATCCTTCCAACAGGTAATTAAACATTTACTCTAGACTATTTCTATACAAGGTAAATTCATATCTCAATCAAGTCCAATGCCTACATAAAATGCCTTTTTACCTCATTCAAATTAATATATTGTGAAATACATGTAGAATCCCAATATAACTGTTACTTGTTTCTAAATATCATAGTAGAAAGATATAACCCTACCATTTCATAGCTGTATCTACCTCTTATAACATGAAAATGATCTTTATTGTCCCTAAATTCTGTGTGTTTTCTCCTTTTGCCAATGTGTTTTCCAATTTAACCTAATGTGTATCAGTTTACATTATCTAATTAATAGGGAAGTAGATCCATACTTATTACTATGGGGGCTTCAGGTTTTTTTAACAACAACAGCACACCTCAGAAGTCAGGAACACTGACTTTATGTAACTTCAGTCGTCATGTCCTCATTTTGTTGTAGGTTGTGTAGTTATGATGTGTTTTAGAGGACGTCCCCATATGTTACAACCCAACGAGTGTAGAGTGTGTGTGTGTTACATCGTCCTCATATTGTTGGATAGTAGATAACGTCTTTAGGTTGTGTAGTCATGATGTGTTTCAGAGGACGTCCCCATATGGTACAACCCAACGAGTGTAGAGTTTGTGTGTTACATCGTCCTCATATTGTTGGATAGCAGATAACGTCTTTAGGTTGTGTAGTCATGATGTGTTTCAGAGAATGCCCCCATATGGTACAACCCAACGAGTGTAGAGTGTGTGTGTGTTACATCGTCCTCATATTGTTGGGTAATAGATATCGTCTTTAGGTTGTGTAGTCATGATGTGTTTTGGTGGACGTCCCCATTTGGTACAACCCAACGAGTGTAGAGTGTGTGTGTTTCATCGTCCTCATATTGTTGGGTAGCAGATATTGTATAGTTCAAACTATTTCTATAGAGTCTTGAGTTACAAGCCCAGATCCTCATGTGAATTGTTTTTACTAAAATCTGTGTCCCCTACATGAAAAGTCAATGGATTTCTGACACGTTATTGTTGTATTTTAAATTGCAGAAACTGAGTGACATGATCCCGGCTCAGCCTTTAGCTGACTCTGAAAGGAGCCAGAGATACACCTCATCCTTCCAACAGGTAATTAAACATTTACTCTAGACTATTTCTATACAAGGTACATTCATGTCTCAATCAAGTCCAATACACACATATAATGCCTTTTATCTGCATTAACACAAAGGTGTTGTGAAAAAACGTTCACAATGTCAAGACTGACTGTTGATTCTAAATACCATAGTGGAAAGATATAGCCCTACCATTTGATAGCAGTAACTACCTCTTAAAACATGAAAATGATCTTTATTGTCCCTAAATTCTGTGTGTTTTCTCCTTTTGCCAATGTGTTTTCCAATTGAACCTAATGTGTATCAGTTTCCATGATCTAATTAATAGGGAAGTAGAATCATACTTATTACTATGGGGGTTTCAGGTTTTTTTTAACAACAGCACACCTCAGAAGTCAGGAATGCTGACTTTATGTAACTTCAGTCGTCATGTCCTCATTTTGTTTTAGGTTGTGTAGTCATGATGTGTTTCAGAGAACGTCCCCATATGGTACAACCCAACGAGTGTAGAGTGTGTGTGTGTTACATCGTCCTCATATTGTTGGATAGTAGATATCGTCTTTAGGTTGTGTAGTCGTGATGTGTTTCAGAGGACGTCCCCATATGGTACAACCCAACGAGTTTAGAGTGTGTGTGTTACATCGTCCTCATATTGTTGGGTAGTAGATATCGTCTTTAGGTTGTGTAGTCATGATGTGTTTCAGAGAATGTCCCCATATGGTACAACCCAACGAGTGTAGAGTTTGTGTGTTACATCGTCCTCATATTGTTGGGTAGTAGATATCGTCTTTAGGTTGTGTAGTCTTGATGTGTCTGGGAGAACGTCCCCATTTGGTACAACCCAACGAGTGTAGAGTGTGTGTGTGTTACATCGTCCTCATATTGTTGGGTAGTAGATATCGTCTTTAGGTTGTGTTGTCATATTGTGTTTCAGAGAACGTCCCCATTTGGTACAACCCAACGAGTGTAGAGTGTGTGTGTTTCATCGTCCTCATATTGTTGGCTAGCAGATATTGTACAGTTCAAACTATTTCTATAGAGTCTTGAGTTACAAGCCCAGATCCTCATGTGAATTGTTTTTACTAAAATCTGTGTCCCCTACATGAAAAGTCAATGGATTTCTGACACGTTATTGTTGTATTTTAAATTGCAGAAACTGAGTGACATGATCACGGCTCAGCCTTTAGCTGACTCTGAAGCGAGCCAGAGATACACCTCATCCTTCCAACAGGTAATTAAACATTTACTCTAGACTATTTCTATACAAGGTAAATTCATGTCTCAATCAAGTCCAATGCCTACATAAAATGCCTGTTTACCTCATTACAATTAATATATTGTTTAATAAATGTTGAATCTCAATATAACTGTTACTTGTTTCTAAATATCATAGTAGAAAGATATACCCCTACCATTTGATAGCAGTAACTACCTCTTATAACATGAAAATTATCTTTATTGCCCCTAAATTCTGTGTTTTTTCTCCTTTTGCCAATGTGTTTTCCAATTTAACCTAATGTGCATCAGTTTACATGATTTAATTAATAGGGAAGTAGATCCATACTTATTACTATGGGGGCTTCAGGTTTTTTTAACAACAACAGCACACCTCAGAAGTCAGGAATGCTGACTTTATGTAACTTCAGTCGTCATGTCCTCATTTTGTTTTAGGTTCTGTAATCATGATGTGTTTCAGAGAATGTCCCCATATGGTACAACCCAACGAGTGTAAAGTGTGTGTGTGTTACATCGTCCTCATATTGTTGGGTAGCAGATAACGTCTTTAGGTTGTGTAGTCATGATGTGTTTCAGAGGACGTCCCCATATGGTACAACACAACGATTTCAGAGTGTGTGTGTGTTACATTGTCCTCATATTGTTGGGTAGCAGATAACGTCTTTAGGTTGTGTAGTCATGATGTGTTTCAGAGAATGTCCCCATATGGTACAACCCAACGAGTGTAGAGTGTGTGTGTTACATCGTCCTCATATTGTTGGGTAGCAGATATTGTACAGTTCAAACTATTTCTATATTGGAACCCAAATAACACACTATTTGATCTAAATATACTTATGGTGAAAACAATTATTAAGTCTTGCTTTCGAAGGAATGGCAGTATGTGCTTTTATCATGCATTATATTCTAATTTATCCTTTCAGATTCACAGAAGAACACAACACAACACTTCACTTCAATAAAGCTTCCTCAAAGTGCTCCAATGGAATGCAAGGTAAATAAGTATTTTGTATTTACATTACTCTATTAGAAAAATGTATTGATCTTAACTGGATTTCTAAAGGACATTTCTAGTTTTTTTGTACAACTAATGCACTTTACAGTACATGCCAACATTCACATGCAAATGTATGCCAACATTTTGACCATTCATACACTGATCACAGAGGCCATCATTCACACACATTTGATGATGCTATCATTTAACTACAAACTATAATTTGTTCTATCATATCCCACATTTATCACTTTAACAGAGCAATTTCTCAAATACATTGTGTCTTGTTTCCATTTATGACAGCTGGGAAGATGAAAGCAAGTGGACAGGTGACGAAGTGAAGGCTACTGAGCGGCATTTGTATCCTTAACAAGCTGCAGAGTACCAGGTAAAAAGGACTGTGACTCCTGTCTCAAGGCAGAGCCAGTTGCTCTGAAAGACAGGGACTGGGTTGCCATCAAATATTACATTCACAACAGAATCATGGCATTAAAAAGGAAGATGAATACATAGGACTAGAACATGCCAACTTGGTCTGAGGTACAATTTTACTTTAAAATAATAGTTGTTTCTTCATTCTCTGCAGTTTTATTGGTAGGGATTTAATAATCAGCCTAACCTCAGACATCTTGTGTTAATGTGTGTACTTGGCTTGGTTTTGATATTATCTTGTTTTCCTTGAATTATTTAATTAGTTTTGTTCTTGTACAAGCATGTCACATAAGCTTGACTGTAGCTGCCAAATGTTAATATGTTGACATGTATCCATGAGGGATTTAATGTGTTTTCCAACCCCCCTCTCGTGGTCACTTTCAGCCAACAGAAATTGTGTTTTTGACGATTATTTACAGTTATGCCATCATTTCTTTCATAAATAAGGTTTGAGATGATAGGTTAATACTATGTTCTGTCTCAACAAATAATATAACTAGTACTTCAAAAGATTGTTACTTCCATCATTATTTCCCAAGTTTTCACCATTGATTTGTTCTTGCCCACAAGTTGTTTGATGTGGTCTTTCAACTATTAAGAAATTATTTGGAGTGGGGGCTACTTGTAACATGTCTCATTTATGGTAACTTTGGTAAACTATATTAAACGTTGTAAGTTATTTAGACTGGTTAACTAAACATAGTGTACACTTGTCATGTTTCGTGCTTTTTACAAGAAAAACACTAAAGAGAAAGTTGCTCATAACTTTCAAACATGCCATATCTACTTCACTGCCTCACACAATGGAGGATAGGGGCTAAAGTTTCTGGGTTGTGGGTGGTCTATTCTGGGTGTAAAAAATGGTTATTTTACAATTTATATGACCAAATAATTGGTTGTTAGGTTCTAAGTCGACAAACAATGTTTTTAAGTTGTTGCTATTAGTCTTTCTCATAACAGGCAAATGATGAACCCAACTCTGGCAACAATAATACTCAGACATGTTTTTTAGTTAAAAAGCACTGCATTTTGGAAAGTTGACATAATCCTGTGACTTTTAGTTGACTAAGAATTATTTAATCAAAGGCAGCGCCTGTCACCATGGTTCCATCTTTATGCAACATGAATCAAGCATAATAGAATACATTTGATTTATATAGCACACTTTAAAGACAACGTCATCTCAATGTGCTTATAGAGTATATCCTTATATACAATATCCTTATTGTTAGGTAAAGGAATAGTCATGAGGGCACCCTCTTTTAATTTCATATTTGCTCCTATTCTGGTTTATACTTCAATTTATATATTTTGCCAGCAATTCATTAAATGTAGAAACAAATAAAGTGTTTCATCCTTTTTTTCACATAAACGTTTATTAGAGAATTTGTAACTTGAAAAATATTAAGACTTTAAGAGTAAACTGACCACAATTAAATGCTATATACCTTTTTAACTTAGCTTTTTTATGTTTCTGGACTGCTCAGTTTTAATATGTTGTATCAACAAGTTAATATGAATAGACTTTTTGTGTCAGAGGTTACCTGACTGGCGAACATGAGTAATTATTTAATGTTGAAGTTTTAGTTTTTTAATGTACACCGATCCTTCTTATGCAGATATTTCAATCATAAGTAATAAAGGCATAGTTGCAAATACAGACTCTATTTTGTGTATTACTGGGTCTCCATAAGTCCCTTAAACTTGAAAATGTAGTGTGTATCTATGGGGTCACAATTCATATAAACATGAAATATCAGTGTGTGTTGCTAAGGGGCTCATAAGTCACATAAACCTGTTCATGTCCTCAGAAGTAGTATTAAAATCAGGTTTCCGCAAAATATAGCATTAAACAAAATCTCAATAGATGGATGTCTTCCAGGAAGCATGGATATGAAATGCTGTGATTCCCAGGTCCCTAGGACCTTTGGAAAGGCATGTCCCAATTTGTCACGTTTTTTTCACACGTCCTGATATATCCTATAAACACGTATGTGTGTGTGTGTGTGTGTGTGTGTGTGTGTGTGTGTGTGTGTGTGTGTGTGTGTGTGTGTGTGTGTGTGTGTGTGTGTGTGTGTGTGTGTGTGTGTGTGTGTGTGTGTGTGTGTGTGTGTGTGTGTGTGTGTGTGTGTGTGTGTGTGTGTGTGTGTGTGTGTGTGTGTGTGTGTGTGTGTGTGTGTGTGTGTGTGTGTGTGTGTGTGTGTGTGTGTGTGTGTGTGTGTGTGTGTGTGTGTGTGTGTGTGTGTGTGTGTGTGTGTGTGTGTGTGTGTGTGTGTGTGTGTGTGTGTGTGTGTGTGTGTGTGTGTGTGTTGTGTGTGTGTGTGTGTGTGTGTGTGTGTGTGTGTGTGTGTGTGTGTGTGTGTGTGTGTGTGTGTGTGTGTGTGTGTGTGTGTGTGTGTGTGTGTGTGTGTGGTGGAGAGTTCAGGGGAGAGATGTCAGAGAGGGGGAGGGAGGGAGGGGAGAGAGTTCAGCATCCTGACCGCCTGGAGGTGCGCGAGCTGAGGCTGAGGAACCTTCTTCCTGAAGGCAGGAGGCTGAAGAGGCTGTTGGAGGGGTGGGTGGAGTCACCCACAATGCTGAGTGCTTTGTGGGTGAGGTGGGTGTTGTATATGTCCTCTGATGCTCTCGGTGGCGCCTCGGTAGAAGGACAGCATGATGGGGGGTGATGCTCCGGCTCGCTTGAGCTTCCGGATGAAGTACAGGCGCTGCTGGGCTTTCCTCGCTAGTGCGGTGGTGTTGTTTTTCCAGGTGAGGTCATCAGTGATGGTCACCCCAAGGAATTTGGTGCTGGTCACCTGCGTCACAGCAGCGCCGTTGATGGTCAGGGGGAGAGGGGGTCGACGGTGGGTTCTCCTGAAGTCAACAACTATCTCCTTTGTTTTCTCCAGGTTGAGGAAGAGGTTGTTGTTTTGGCACCACAGGGCCAGCTGGTTCACTTCCTTCCTGTAGTTAGTCTCATCGTTGTTGCTGATGAGACCCACCACAGTAGTGTCGTCTGCAAACTTCACGATGTGGTTGGTGCTGAAGATGGGTTTGCAGTCGTGGGTCAGCAGAGTGAAGAGAAGGGGGCTGAGCACACATCCTTGGGGGGCCCCTGTGCTCAGTATGAGGGTGTCTGAGGTGTTATTGTTGACCCGTACAGCTTGTGGTCTCTCTGTGAGGAAGTCCAGCAATCAGTTGCAGAGAGAGGGGCTGAGGCCCAGGTCTGTACGTTTTTGTACAAGCTGCTGGGGGATGATGGTGTTGAATGCTGAGCTGAAGTCTATGAATAGCATTCTGACATATGGGTCCTTAGTCTTAGTCTTAGCCTTAGTGTTAGTGTCCAGGTGTGTGAGGGCTGGGTGGAGAGCGGAGGAGATTGCATCCTCTGTGGACCGTTTAGCTCGGTAGGCAAACTGAAACGGGTCCAGCGATGGGGGGAGGGTGGATTTGATCTGCTTCATGACCAGCCTTTCGAAGCACTTCATGATGGTGGAAGTTAGTGCGACGGGGCGGTAGTCGTTGAAGCCGGATGGAGATGACTTCTTTGGCACTGGAATGACGGTGGTTTCCTTGAAGCACGAGGGAACAACAGCCTGGCTCAGGGAGATGTTAAAAATGTCTGTGAGGACATCTGTGAGCTCTTTCGCGCAGTCCTTCAGCACACGACCAGGAATGTTGTCAGGTCCTGCAGCCTTGCGGGGGTTAATCCTCAGCAGTGTGCTCCTCACACTGGCTGGTGAAAGACGCAAAGCCTGGTCGTCGGTGGGGGGGGGTGATTTTCTGCGCAGGTGTGTTGTTCTGTGCTTCAAAACGTGCAAAGAAGCCATTGAGGTTGTTGAGCAGGGAGGTATTACTGTCACAGGTCTGTGGCGGTAGTTTGTAGTCCGTTAGGGTCCTTATGCCCTGCCACAGGCTCCGTGAGTCCCCGCTATCCTTGAAATGTCCTGTACTTTCTCGGGTGTATTCTTGTTTTGCTTTCCTGATGCCACGGGACAGGTCAGCCCTGGCTGCTTTCAGCCCAGCTGGATCTCCAGCTCTGAAGGCGATGTTGGGGGCCTTCAGCAGCGTGTGGACCTCCCGTCAGCCATGGCTTCTGGTTAGCCCGGGTGGTGATGGCTCTGTTTTGTGTCACATCGTCAATGCATTTGGTGATGTAGCCCGTGACTGTCTCTGTGTATTCTTGTATGTTGGTGTGATGGTTGTATGTGGCTGCCTGCTTGAACATGTCCCAGTCTGTAGTGTCAAAGCAGTCTCTAATGCCCCTTTCACACCGGCGCTTTTTCCTGTTCACACCGCAGCGGCGCCGCGTCATAGCTCCGGAATGCGGTTCACTTCCAGCTCCAAAAAATTGTCGGTCCAGAGGCAAGAGCTTCGGAGCTATGACGCGGCGTCGCTTACGTCTCTCTTACGTCGAGGCGTGCAGGAAACTAAACCCACCTCCCCTGAACATGGGTCGACTGAAGAGTCTCGTCATGCCTGCCTACAAGCAGTAGCGCTGAGCAAAGTGACTAGAAGGCAACCACACACTTATAAAAAAAAAACACACTTTATAAAGTCAGGCAACACGAACCAGGCTTCGTGTGATTCTGTTTATTTGTACCTTACTTTGACCATCCGTTCGCTGTTATTGATCATTGTGGAGAGCAGGCAGACGTTTTGTTTGTTATTATAGCAGCTATCGGATGGAATCAATACATGGGCTGCACAGGTTGTCATGTCCGACTATCACAAGTAGAATCATAATGAAAAATACGCCGGTAAAATGTGCCTGTAGAAAACGGCTTAGCAAGTAGTCAGTTTAGCTTCGGTTGCTATGCTAACATCACCCATGTTATACCAGAGAAACTTTCATAACAGCGTTGTGATGCCAAACAGCATCAATTCAGACTGACACACATTCACTTAAGGGGAACTGGGGATATGTATCAGCTGCTTGTGTGACAGTCAGACAGTGAATACTTTAGAGCCGTGTGAGCTAACCCGGAGCTAACGGGAGAATAAACTCCCGTGGAAGAGCAGCCAGCACTGCAGCGGTCGGTAAATGCCGCTGAAACACATTAATAAACAATGAACCACGGCACTCTGGAGAAAAGTATAAGGTTGGAGAAGTCGTTATTTAATTTAATCTGGCTTCGTATGATTAAAAGCAACACGATCATCGACCCGACGCAGTCCCCCCCCCGTTGTTGTTGTGAGCTCCGTTGGGGAGAAAATCAGCGATGTAAGCGGTGACGTCATGACGCAGCAGCGGCAGCGGCAGCTGGGCGGTGTGAACAGAGCGGGAGCTGAAAAGGGAAACCGGAGCTGAACCAGAAAAGCTCTAGCTAGGAGCTAGAAAGGGAAAAGCGCTGGTGTGAAAGCCGCATGAGTGCAGCTGTGCTGTCCTCTGACCACACCCGAACCTGTTTTGAAACTGGTTTGGTGGCTTTTACCCTGGGTCTGTAGGCCGGTTCCAGCAGAACAGTGAGGTGGTCCAACACAGTCTCACGGCATTTCGTGTTATAGTCACGAAATTAATCTATTGATTCGTGTTCACCAATACGATTTCGCCATTTTATTCGTGTCACACAGAACGATTTTAAAAGCAATGTAAATCATAACAAATTAGAAGGAAAAACAGATTACAAAAAATACAGATTTCAGTATTCTGACACAGAACGATTTTAGAAGTAATGTATTTATATTGGTAGTGTGTTTCGTGCCTGCACCAAATAATAACAAATTAGAAGGAAAAAAAGATGACAAAAAATACAGATTTCAGTATTCTGAGGCTCTGAGCCATTTCTTTTCCTCGCGGACGGCAAAAAAAACTCAGACATTATACAATTTTAAAATAAAACCACACAGCTTCTGGTATTCCAAGACCCGACCGGACAAAAAGACGTGTTGCAGGCACGAAACATACTACCAATAGAAATACATTGCTTTTAAAATCGTTCTGTGTGACACGAAAAAAATGCGAAAATCGTGTTGGTGAACACGAATCAATAGATTAAATTAATTTCGTGACTATAACACGAAATGCCGTGAGACTGGGTTGGGTGGTCAGAGAGGCCGATGTGGGGGAGGGGGGATGCCTTGTATGCTCCCTTGATGTTGGTATAGACCAGGTCTAATGTGTTTTTCCCCCTGGTTGGAAAATCAACATGCTGATATATTTTAGGAAGCACAGTTTTTAAGTTAGCGTGGTTGAAGTCTCCAGCTATGATGAGTAGGCCGTCTGGGTGTGCTGTCTGTTGCTCACTGATGGCTCTGTACAGTTCACCGAGTGCCTCCTCTTTACCCTCGCTACTGGGGTTAGGCGGGAGGTAAACAGCCACCACAAGAATCGCTGTAAACTCCCTCGGCAGGTAAAAAGGACGGCATTTTAGAACCATAAATTCCACCAGTGGCGAGCAGTGTTGGCTAACAACAACAGTGTCTCGGCACCAAGCGTCACTGATGTACACACACACACCACCGCCGCGAGTCTTTCCCCCGTTATCTTTGTTCCTGTCTGCACGGTAGCTTGTTAGCTTGTCTAGCTGAATAGCGGAGTCAGGGATGTTGTTGTGGAGCCATGTTTCCGTGAACACGTAAACACAGCAGTCTCTCACCTTACGCTGGGTTGATCGTAGCAGTTGTCTATCTTGTTATCCAGTGAGCGGACATTTGCCATAAGTAGTGATGGAATTGCCGGCTTGTGTGGGCTAGCCTCTAGCCTAGCCCGGATACCTCCATGTTTCCCCCTCTTCATTTAGCGAGACTAAACACAGGTGGATACACTGAATCAACTAAAGTTGTCGGTTATGGCTAGAGAATGCACACCTCGGAGCCTTCTGTGCCTAAGATAAGGAAGTGCTCCAAATGTCCCAAAACAATAAACTCTCAGATCGAGCTGTGCCCGGTCATAAACTGGCAACAATAACCACAGTTTGAGCAGCCCCTCCTTAAGGGAGATAGCAGCTGTCCAAGGCTGAGAACCTGTGTCCAAGGAATAGGAGGCACAGGAAGGTGAAACAGATGGAGTATGTCAAAGGGTGCCCCTAAGCAAATTATTCCCTAACAAGTGGCACTTCGTATACGTAAAGCATTGAATCATGGATTATTCTCGAAAAAACTGCAGTTGAAGCGTTCCTCAGGCTTGAAAATGACATAATAATAATAATAATAAATGGAATTTATAAAGCGCCTTTCAAGGGACCCAAGGTCGCTGTACATGGTGGACAGACAAAACAAAACAGACAATGAGGAGCAAAAATTAAAAATTAAAAATAATGGACATGTCCATTTGTTCTGGACATGCCCAGAACAAATGACTATATATTCACTTCTAAAAGGGGTAAATTAATCATCTTTTTTCTCAAAGCAATGATACACCTGTGAGTTGGCTGTAGAAGTGTCAGAATCAATATAGATGTTTTTATTTTAAAGTAAATTCCTGATTGAACATAGTAAAAAAATGTAAATTATAGTTTCCGTCTAAAAAAAAAACATGACTTATAGTGAAACCCACCCTTGAATGATGGGATAGTAGACTAAAAGCTTTAGGAATCCAGACCATAACATATAATAAGTACCCTGTATCAAGATTAATGCAAAACAAGTGAAATTTGACCTTTTTAGAGAGGTTTAGAAAAAGTAGGTCCAGGCGGACTCACCTCTGGGTACATTTGGGTGTATTTGCCGTATCTCTGGAACCCATTGGTCAATTTGGGTGATTGACACCTCTTTGTAACTGTTAGAGCCAATAGAGTTGAGGTGAAGTTCCTTAATCCATCTAAATATTACCATCGATGAGTTAGAATGATGCGCACGCAGCTTGCCCAAAACCGGAAGCTCCGTTACACTCTATATGAAAAATGCGTTTATTGCCATAAATGTTATGATGGATTATCAGTAATCATTTCAAAGTGACCCAGAGACATTGGATTAACCTCCAGCAGCGTTTATATGCGTTTTAATGCCCTTGAACACAACTTTTGATCAGAAAACAGCAAAGGTAAGACGTATTTGCCGTTTTGGCCCCGTAAAGTGAAGTTGTGTGTTGTCTTTCCTGGCTTTCGCTGCCGTGAGTTTTAGTCAAACAGTGATGATACTTATACCAATGGAATCTGTGGAATCTCAGTTTTCATATGATATATAGTTTGTGCAGATTGCATGAAGTATAAAATATCCCTACCGTGAGTTATGTGCTATGTGCGCTTAGACGCTTGGTGTTAGACTTGTGTTTCATTTAGGTAAAAATGGTTAATATTGTCTGATAGCTGAGTTTCTTCCCGTTAAGTGGGTATGACACATTAATAGGTTGTTAAATGTTAATAAGCCCTGAGACACAGTTTTGTGCAATATTGTTGGGTCTGCCCCCGCCGCCGGGGGCTATCAGGCTAAAGATATCCCTCAAACCTGCTGGCATTTTCAGATTGGATAAACTGTAAATTGGTTTAAAAAAAAATATTTTTGAGGCTAAAAGCATACGTGTTTTTTAAAATATGTTTCTATGACTTAAATCTCCTTCCCTATTGATAAAGGTTTATGTGCATTTTGAGATTTCTCGGGGCATTTCTTTCCCGTGCCCCCTTAACTTCTGACAATAAAGGGGGCATCTTTGAGTGAATCTCAATCACTTAAGCTACAAAATAACAATTTATACCATATTCCCTTCAGAATCATGGAATTGACATTGGGAATGTCACGGAGAGGAAAGAACTAAGGAAAAGGTTGAACTGTAAACCCTTCAAATGGTACCTGGAAAATGTGTATCCCAAGTTGGATCCCTTGGACAACGTAGTTGCCTATGGAGGAGTAAGTTTAGTTTCATCTAATGCTTTGAATGGTGGTAGAATTATTGCTGGGTGTGTGTTTTAATGATTCACTCCTACACACCAATGTTTTCTACATTTGAGCTCCCAAATATTTATCATTATTTTATTTTTTTTAATGTTTTTTTTTTCTCCCCTACTTATAGATGAAGAATCTTGATACCAACATGTGCTTAGACCAAGGCCCAGTGCCGGGAAACACACCCATCGCGTTCAATTGCTACTACTATGGACCTCAGGTAAGTTAAGATTCTAAAAGTGGTTGTCAAGATTCATCCTTAATCTTTGTCGTATTTGCTGCTGATTTAACTGCCAAAACTGCTTTTTAAAATACTTTTTAGATTACTTATTTTCGATCAAACGGAGAGCTCTACATCGGCGGCATCAAGTCCCACAAGTACAATGACAACCGGTGTATAGCTGACATTGGGAATAAAGAAACAGAACCAGGACTGTTCAACTGCAGAGAGGCTCTGCAGAAGAAAATGGGGATCTACTGGGACTTCACTCAGGTACTATTAATTAAATGTAATCTAGCAAAAGAAGCAACGGGTAAAATACTGTTACTAGTAAAAGCCCTGTGTTAAAAAATATTGTTGTTGTTAAAGTATTAGCATCAAAATAAACACTTAACTTAGCATAATGTGTTCAAATGAACAGCGTTTTCTTAAAGGTCCCATGACATGGCCATTTCTACTGATCCTAATTCCATTGTTGAGGTCTACTAGGATAGATTTACATTGTTCAATGTTCCAAAATCACATTGATTTCTCATACAGCATCTCTGTATAGTATGTGTATTCACTGTCTGTCCTAAACGGCTTGTTGGAGCTCCTGCCCCCCCCCCTCCCTATGAGCCCATGTGCTCTGATTGGTCAGCTCGCCCACTCTGTTCTGATGAGTCCACCACTGTTACAGCGGAACATCAGTGATTATGTGTTACAATGGCATTTGATAGCAACCAGAAAATGACACCAGTAATGACAAACAGATGAGAATGCTGCGTGGGGTCTGGGTGCCGTGTTGGCGGGACGTTGCGGGGCTCGCTGCTCCGCCCTTTGAGGATCGAGGAGCGGACAGTGTGAGCTGTATTACTGGTGTTGTTTCCTGGTTGCTGCGTGGGGTCTGCGAGACAGCGAGACATCGCGGAACTCAGCCTGAGCACACACATACACTCACAGCCAGGCTGTTCGCCACACAGTTCGCCACACACTCACAGCCTGAGAAAAGACAAGGCTGAGTGAGTGTGTGTGCCGGCGAAACTCCGCAGAGTAGCGTGGCTGAGAAAAGATAAGGCTGAGTGAGTGTGTGTGTGTGTGTGTGTGAGGAGAAGAAAAAAATGGAAAAAGAAAAATCTCCAACGAGGCGTTCTGGGGCAGCATAGACAGGTCTTTTCTGTGTTAAAGTTGTACTCGCTACAGGGTGTACTTTGAGGGTTTGTGACTTTGCAGACCGTTTACATGCATAAAAAGCTACATAACACACAAGGGGACGGGTAATAACCGGAAATGCATGTCATGGGACCTTTAACACTAAATTGTGTTATTACCTTTCACTAGGAGTGGTCATTTCTAACCGTTGGTGTTTTGACATATCTGAAATGTTATTGTTTTACCACTATATTAATCAAATGACTGCACAAACCACGTGTGTTTTCACCAAATCTGAAAATGCATGTAGTTGTCATAATTTGGTATGTACCAACCTTTGAAATGATAGGGTGGGTTAGCTCATGGTGACTCATTGTTCAAAATGTTGCGGTCGTCTGAATGTTTAATGATGACATACTGTGTAATGTGTATACCTACTGTTTACATGTATTCTCTTTTCTAGGGCAAGGAGTTAAAGAACAGAGAAACAAAAAGATGTCTGGAGATTAAAAAAGATACACTAGTAATACAGGAGTGCTCTGGCCAAAGATGGGAAGTCCAACACATAATCAAAGCCTTTTAAAGTGTGTCTGTGTGTTTGCGGCCAACCAGAAGTGCACTTCTCTGCTCATAGGTCAGTCTCAAAGAAAGCCAGTAACGTGCTATCATGCCTTTATATATATATATCTCTGACAGACATCAATTCATCTCCATCAACAACTCCAAATCCCCCACAGTCCCTGTCAATCATGGTGTCCCTCAGGGTTCTGTACTTGGTTCCCTTCTGTTCATCATCTACATCCTCCTACTTGGACAATTCCTCTGTCAAAACTAACTCCAGTTCCGCTGTTATGCCGATGACACACAGCTCTACCAATCAACAAAATGTATTTCTCCAACCACACACTCCCAACTCAGCACCTGCCTCACTGACATTACAATTTGGATGCAAAACAATTTTCTAAAACTCAACTGCGACAAATCAGAACTCATAATCATCGGCCCAAACTCACTTACCCGCTCAACCCAGGATTTTTCACTTACCATCGATGGCTCCATTGTCAAGCCCTCCAATCACGTCCGTAATCTTTGCTTCATCCTCAACCCCACCCTCACTTTCCTCCCTCGTGTTAACCAGGTCACAAAATCCGCCTTCTTCCACTTAAAGAACCTTGCCCGCATCAGACCCTCCCTCCCATGTCCGATGCTGAAACTCTCATCCATGCCTTCATTACATCCCGTCTTGATTACTGCAACAGCATTCTTTATGGTTCACCTGCATATATCCTCAAAAAACTTCAATATGTCCAAAACTCTGCCCGTATGCTCACCTTCACCCGACATTCCTACCACATCACCCCTAACCTCCATGATCTCCACTGGCTCCCCATCAAACCCCACATTGACTATAAAGTCTTACTATTCACTGAAAAAGCTTTCCACAACCTTGCCCCCCCCCCTACCTCTGTGACCTCATCCAACGACACACCCCCACCCGTCGCCTCAGATCTGCTGACGCTTACCTACTGCAGCCAATCAGAACCAAGCTCCAGACCTGGGGCGACGGGGCCTTCGCAGAAGCCTCCCCCTCACTCTGGAGCTCCTTCCCCAGCCACGTCCGATCTGCCAACACTCACATAAGTACTTATTATCTTTCCTTCTTTATCTGCCATTTTTCTTTTGTTTGACACTACACAACGGAATTTGCTGATTGGACCAGAAAATTGCATTGTTTTCAATGTAAAATATTTTTATTTGGTTCTATTCCTTTAAGGTTTAGTGGCATTAGCCGCGTTCACACCAAGTACTTTCCTGTACTTAGTTCCGGCACTAAGAGCCCCGGCGCTTTTAACCCCAGGGCACTTAGTACAGATCGCGTTCACACCGGAGTACTTTTCCCTGAGGGAATATTACGCAAATGAGCCGCTGACGTCACTTCTTCTTCTTCTGCTTTGGCTTTACTGGCAGGCCACAAACCACTTCACGGCGAGTACAGTAGGTGGCGGTATGCACCTTAAAGTTGTTTGCAATCCGCTGCAAAACAAGAGAAGAAGAAGAAAAACTTCCCGCGTATACTGCGACGCCCACCCACTCGCTGTACATTAGGCGTCTGTTGTTTACCTTCCGACCTCAGACATGATGGAGATGGAGTCCACTGAAGTTGTGCTGTTTGTGCTCATGTTATACAGCTTTGTAACTGAGTTAATGCAGCCTGAGCAACTTGCGTACAATAACAAAACAAGTCGAGCACGAGTGGTGGTGGAGAACGCTTTTGGCAGACTGAAGGGCAGGTGGCGGTGCTTGATGAAAAGAAACGACTACAAGATCACAATCCAGGTGGCAGCATGTTGCATATTACATAACCTTTGTGAAAGTAATGAGTACAGGGACGAATGGACTGCCTTACCGGCGACCCAGCTTTATGAGGCATCTGAACAGCGTGTAAATTGTAAACATTTTGACAATAAAGCTAATCTTTTGTACAGTGCTTGTTTCTCTTTTATTTTCCAGTCAAGACAGGCAACATTACAATAGTGTACAGTGTGGCAATATAATAACAATAAACTGTGCCAGGTGTGTTGTATGCACAGTAAATAGGCTCAGCAGCAAACCCACCGTTATTAGTGTATATATATATCTTCCTCAGACCCACTGCATCAGTCTGCCATAAACACTATGGAAACATAAATGTTAGTTTCGGCCCATAGTGGACTCCATTTTGTGTTGTGTAAAATGGGGGGGGGGGGGAATTAAAGGTTTGCAAATCCCCATGTCCTCCTCAGAGGACAATCATAAAAACATTTAGTTTAGGTCAAATAATATTTAAAATTATATAAATTATCATATTTGTGTATGTGCCCCTGCCATTCCTCCACAAGGTTGCAACATTGATGATAAATGACAAATAAAGCTTTGCCAGTTTATAACCGATGAAACATGATGGTATCAGAATAATCACTTACATGTGATGTATAGGATGCTACGGTCACTAAAGATAAAGTGTCAGGAGAAATAAGCAAGCTACAGGATCTGTTTAACAGTAAATAGAAGTTCACATTTTTAATGTAAATAAAATAGAAGTTGTACATGTAAATTAACATTATCAATATAAAATAAAGTGTCAGTTGTATCAAGACTATATAATAACAGTAATAACAATAATATAAAATGAACTGGTGAGCATCTTGTCCTCCGTTTCCTGGGCCTTGGTGAACAGCACCATCTGATCCCCGTGCATCGACTCTTTCACCACGGCACGCCGGTCCTCCAACGCCTGGACGGTGTCAAAGAAATTCGCATCCCGTGTCCGCTTTCCTAAGAGGGGAAAATAAGCAAGATACAAGATCTGTTTAGTCGCCATGTAGTTTTACAACATACTAGGAATGTGTTTTTTGTATTTTCACAAATAGAATTAAGGTTTCACAAATCTGAAACTGTGTTATAAAGAATCTTTTGACTCTCTGGGATAATCCAGTCCAAATAAATCGGCTATGCAGCGATTTAAGAGGTTCAAACACGGAGGATTGTGCTTCATGTATGCTTGAATTTTGTTTAATGTTGTTCAGGCAAGTTTTCGTACCGGAAGTCATGTGACCTCTAGCCCGGATGTTTACAATGTTTGTGAGAGACATTTGTAAATGCCGGTCTGCGAATACGTTTTCACGCTGTTTCATAATTGTACCAAGAAGGAAATAAACATGATTGTGAACATCAGTTCGATGCGTAACGTTCTTTCAAGACAAAGTTACAGTGTGTGTACCTTTGCGTTTGGTTGCTGGTAAGGGGGACGAGCTAGCGCTGTGATCTAGAATGCAAAGCTCGCTTGTTTCCAATCCCGAGAGTTGTCCATCCTCGCCTGAAACAGACGATTAGTGCCATGAGTTAGTGAAGCAAATTACAGAAACACTACACAGTTATTCACAAGTCAAAACGTTTTCATACGGCCGAGAATATCTAGCTAGCTAGATGTAGCTAGCTCGGGGCCGGTGTTAGCCTATTCAACCTAGCATGGCTAGCTTGATCTACTGAGCAAATAAAAGTACATCTGAGACCATTATTGTGCAGATTAAAACCCCAGTGCATGTAGTTGATTTTACCTTCGTCGTGGTAGTCATCGTTGGCCACTGAATCCGCCGTTTGTAGTCCTGAGTTTCTTTATTTTTAGCCGGCTGTGCACGATTCCCAGGTCGAGTGAAAGCTACTGAACTGGCTTCAGTAGCATTCCCTGGGTCGCGTCCTCGGCGTAGATCTCCAGAAGCGCCGACACCTCCTCATCATTTCTTGATGCTTGCCATAACTGCTTTCAAAAACAAACCCAACGCTCCGTCGGTGCGTTGGGATTTTGTAGCGAGGGAAAACAATGGCGTCTCCACACATCATTTTCACAGTTGTACGGGCGTGGTTTGCAATTCGCCCAGCCAATCAGCACTGGGGCACTTTTGGGGCACTTTTCACCCTCAGGAAAGTACGCTCTCTCTGCCGGCTCTAAAAATGGGGGTAAAAGTACCCGAGATTAAGTACGATTTTTGGTGTGAACGCGACATAAGGGGTACTAACGGAACTAAACGCGAAAAGTACGGTGAAAAGTACTCCGGTGTGAACGCGGCTATTGATGCTGTTATGAGCAGGATCCTGGTTAGAGATAGGCATAATGTTTCTCAGTAGATCTCATTTGGGGATTGTTGACAGGCAGCATCTTACATCAGGCCGAAACGCAACCTAAAAATGCAATTCAGCCCATTTTCATCTTTGCAATCTTTTCACTCAGGGACACTAAATATATTATATGCAATGAAAAAGCTAATGCAAATGTAGAAGATAGTTTGCTGAATTTCTTCCATGGTAGCTGTGTTCACAACAACAAATGCTATCAGATAGATGCAAGTGCTTTCATTGCGTTGCTGTGATGAAATGTGACCTTTTTTACATCTATCACAATCAGCCAGTTGTTACAAATGCCATATATGGAAGCATTGTAATGCAATACGTGCTGTTTTGTGAACATCCAGTCTAGAAATATAAACGTTTTCTTGGTAATTTATTTCTACTTTACACTGCAATATAATCAGTATAGAGAAATTCAAATCATAAGGTAGACGAAAATGAAGTAAAATGAAGGGTGAAAAGCATTGGGGTGAAAAATAAAAAGGGTAAAAAAAAACAGCATGCATGGATAAGTGAACGTTAACAAGTCCACAGCTTAAATAATTCCTGTATACCTTCTAGATAAAACGATGTTAATGAATGGGTTCCGAACAGGTTTAAATGTACTATGGCATTTGGTCATTAAATGTTGTCAGGTTTTACTTCTGCAATCTGATTCAGAGAAGGGAATTTGTGTCCATTAGCACTGGCCATTTACATCTAAAAAAAACGTTATGTTAAAATCGTATTACAGAATGGATGGAACCTCTTTTTGAGTGAATATGTATTCTTTATGTTGAGTGTATAAATTATCTTGGTGTTTTCTAATGACTTTTCTATTCTGGGGAGCCTTGATACCTCTACCACCGTTTTGTAGACAGAGGCCTATGTTCAAAATATGTTGAAATATTATTGTCTTTTGAAATCTACATTTGGAAATAAAGTTTATGTTTGAATTGGTTTGTCTTTGAATTGTGTTTGTTTTGGTATTAAAGGCCTATCTAGCTTATATAGCCCAAGAGCTTCCCTTATGCCGATATAGGAAATGGCAATGTGCCGTCATGAACAGCAATCTTTGGAGGATAATAGCAACCGCAACCTATTATAGTAACCTACACGTGAGCGAAATAGCATCACTTTTACAATTTAAACTTTTTAAACTGGTAGGCACTGTTATGTGCTAGTTGTAACAGCTACTATATGACCAATGAACAAAACCAAAAAAGGACTATGGAATTACAATTTATACTTTTATAGCTAAATGTAAACAAGGGACACATGGTGAACATCACAAAGAAACGCTGAATGTAATCAATGGCAGCCATCTGCCGACTGACTGTTGCTGTTGCTATTGACGCTATCCTCCTACGATGGCCACAACGCTCCACATTGCACAGTGGTTCCCATTGCCTGTAGTCAAAAGAGAAAAAACTCAAATAGAATAATAAATCAACATATGTTTTAGCCGTTAAGTTATATTACACAGCGTAAGAGATTAATGTTTAAGGTATATTCACATAACCTTAAAGGGATGGTTTGGATGTTTTAAAGCTGGGTTGAATGAAAAACGTATTAAAAAAAAGTGAGTATCAACTACTGCAGAAACTAGTTTGAAGAAACAAGACAGGAGAACCAGCTCAGGAGCAAAGGAATGTATTGCTGTGGAAGGTGGCAGCAGCTAAATGTATTTTAAGCTATTTTACAATGACAGCTTTCATGTGACCTGGCATCCTCAGAACCAGTCTGTATGGTTGCTGTTTGTTGACTCGATGTCCCTCCTAGCAAAACTATTCAAGCTGTTTGTTTTTCTTTTGGCTTGTACTCACCAGTCTTTATCTCGATCAACTAGCAGAGCTTTTCATTATTAAATGCCACTCCTCAACCGTTGACATCATGTCATTACAGAAGCTGAGGGTTTCACTAGCTGACAGGTACAATTGGCTCTTGTGGGCAGGGCTGGAGTGTGGTCAAGATTTAAAAAATCTTGACCACATTTCAATGTTTTTTCAATGGTATAAAGGTCTGGAGATTTGGCACAAAAACGTGTCTGGGGTTTATTTTATGGGTGAACATATTCTTTATGTTGACCGTAAAATGGATCTTGGTGTTTTCTAATGACTTATCTATTCTGGAGAGCCTGCTATATTTCATGGTTTCACATTCCCGGGGGGTATAGTCTGTTTATTCACAGCTGAACTCAGTGGAATTCAAAACAAATATTAGTTTTTTTGTGTTTAGACAAAGGCCTATGTTGAGAATGTGTTAAATAAAATTAAAATTGAATCTACATTTGCAAATAAAGTTGATGTTTAATTGGTTTATCTTTTAATGTTTTTAAGTAAAGTTCTAGCTTAATGTCTCCAAAAACTGTCCTGATAGCTGAGTGGTGAGTTATTCCCTTTGTTAGGGGACAAAAGACAACCAACACCAATTTGTTTGTGTTACTCAAGTACTGTACCAATGAACAATTTTTAGGGACTAAAAATGTATTTACATTTCATGCTACTTTGTACTTCTAGTCCACTACAATTCAGAGGTAAATGGTGTACTTAAACTACATTTATTGAATACCGTAGTTACTTTGCAGATTTGGATTATGATGTGAAATATAATCAACACTTAAATCAGACTTTAGTTACACCTGGAGTAAATTCACAAGCTACCCTGCTGCAGTATACAAAGTCATTAAAACTAGCTGCACCTTTACCAGCTTTGATAAACACTTTAATGATCAATAATTATAATCATATTATTCTGAAATGGACCAATCTGCATAATGACTCAAAAGGTAAAAGTAGCCTACTCATTAATAATGGTTTGATATTTTGGATGCAATACTTACTTTTACTTGAGTAACATTTTGAAGGCAGGAGTTGTATTTGTAACCGAACATTCCTTCACTCTGGTACTTCTACTGTTACTCAAGTACTTCTTCCACCTCTGTAATATATATTGTAGAGCGGTTCAATAGGTTTGCACCAGGGGCGTCGCCTGGGCCTGAAAACATTCGGGGCTTAGCCCACAGTGGCGGCGGCACTAGTGGCATTTTTTACTGCAACACTCCCCACACGCACACACACAGTACACCCGCGACTGTTACAATAAAGGCTCGATAATCAGCTCACGGCATATAGGCAGGGGTAAAGTGGTATTTTTTATGAGTGGGGGGCAGACCTCACCTCCTCTAGGGGGGTCCGGGGGGATGCTCCCCCGGGAAGATTTGTTTTTAAATATTGAAGTTAAAAGCATCAATCTGGTGCACTTTGAGAGCAAAATGAAGAGATCTATGGATACCTCTCTCAGCACCCATATGAAACAGAACTGTAAACAGATGTACTTTTTCTTTATGGATATTTTACAAATCACTCCCCTTTTAAACTCTATTCTTGTTTTACTGCCATATAGTATTTCATAACTGTTTTTCCTTTATTCTCTTATTTTTTTTATAACTATAATTATCATATGAAGGTGTGCCGCGGAAATAATCTTTTGAATAATTTGTGACCAAACAGTTTGAGACCCACTGAGATAACTTAGACTAAAGTTAAGTATCTAAACACTCAGAGAGTCCTTTAGCTCACCTGAGTCTCTCAGTCTGAGAGGAGAGGACTCTCCTCCAGCTTGTTGTGGAACAAACAGCTCCTTATGTCCGTTAGTGCAGCTAGCTAACCAGATGCTAACAACAGGTCCCTGCTGGCAGCGGTCCCTCCCTCCCCCTCTCTCCCTCTCTCTCTCTCTATCACATGTAGTGGAAACGCGGCATATAAATGCGCTATTGCCACACACACACAGAGCCGAGCTTGAATGACACAAGCACACGTTTACTTCCATGCAACTCTCTGATTGGTCTGGTGTCATGCCTCTGTTGCATTCACTGAACACGGGAAATTACAGTGTTGCCGTCCTCTCTTGTGTCATGATGAGGTTCACGTAAAGCACGGTTAATGTATTATATTATTGAGGGAGAATTGTCCGGGGCTACAGAAAAAACATTCGGGGCTAAAGCCCCGGATGCCCAGGCCAGGCGACGCCACTGGTTTGCACTGCAGGTGTCTTCATGAAACGCTTGTCTCCACGACACCGGAAAAAGCCGACATCTAACGAACGCTGACGAACTCTGGTTTCTTAGCAACCCGTGTGTTTAAATTGAAGCTAAGTTTGTCGTGTCCTAGGACAGGAGCCCGTTCCAAGTTTAACACTGCATTTCGTTACGTAAAACACCATATTTTAAGTCAAAATGTTCAACTTTGATTTACCCTCAGACCGCGTAGCAAGGACAAGTCTGCAGAGGCGACGCAACGACGAGACTGAAAGACGAGAGAGGGTTTTTAATGACAAAGTCAGGATGTTCGGGGTAAGCTAACATTAGTTAGGTGTTTTTGCACAAATATGCTAACCCCATGATGCTAACGCATAATGTAAATGTGCTGTCACGACGGTTGTCTGTCTCATAGGTTGACAAGGAGGCCTTAGACTCGCAGTTGAAAGAAAAAGATAAACAAGAAGAAGCAGCGAAACTGGAACAACACGCTCGTGGTGATGTAGCTCAACATTAGCTAATGCTCACAGGAAACACTAGCTCATCACTAACATCCATATGGATATGATCCCCACTATGTTGTGTATTATGATCAACGCATTGCAGGGCTGGGTCATATTACTTTTGTACATTTTTGTAATTGGTTTGGTTATCCATTATATAAAAACAAAAAAAGCAGAGGTGGGATAGGCTAAGTACTCAGATCTTGCACTTAAGTAAAAGTAGAAGTACCAGGGTGTAGGAATACTCTGTTCCAAGTAAAAGTCCTGCATTGCAAATGTTACTCAAGTATAAGCATCAAAATATACTTAAAGTAAAAGTACTCATTATGCAAACTGGCCAATTTCAGAACAATGTGTTTTGATTATAATTATTGATAATTTAAGTGTTTATCAAAGCTGGTAAAGGAGCAGCTAGTTTTAATGACTTTGTATAACTGCAGGGTAGCTTATGAATTTACTCCAGGTGTAACTAAAGTCTGATTTAAGTGTTGAATATAATTCAGATAATTAATCAACATTTGCAAAGTAACTGAAGGTATTAAATAAATGTAGTGTAGTACACGTCTACCATTCACCTCTGAATTGTAGTGCGGTAGAAGTATGAAGTAACAAAACATTGAAATACTCCACTGTGAAAAAGTAATCAAATCTGAATACTGAATTACTCAGATTACTTCAAAATCAAACATTGAAATTGCAATTACTACTTAACGTGGACTCTTCCACCAAAAGAAAATGTGCACAAATGTATTGTTTGTCTCTTGAAACACCCCAAAACATTTTCAATACAAATAATTTGCAATATTTAGCAATCAGTTTATCAACTTAAATTCCCCTTCATAAATAGTACTGGCACACACTACAGGTGTAGGCCTAATGTGTGTATTTTTAAATGAAATTACGTTTTTATCACTGCTTTTGCCTTCGCTCTCATAACACAAGAGGAGCACTTACTGAAATGTATCCCTTACTTAAAAACTCCTTTATCCATAAATTGTCATTAAAATAAAACAAATATAAATTTTCATGGCATTTTCATGATACCAAAAAAATACCATATTCAATGATCTGGGCTGCTGACATCATGGTAAATAGATATATATCACTACTAACCCTGCTGTAATGCCTCTGACCTGTGTCCTCCATACAGATGCTGAAATGCTCCATAATAGCAAAGTAGCTTGCCTCCTTCACAGCAGAGAAGTGAAGGAGAATCGTGCGATGGAAAAGGCTGTCGTTGACTACCGGCATCAGTACCAGCAGCCTCAGTGCCAGAGCGACTATGACCTGAGTGACCCGCACCGCTGTGGGAACACAAACCCAGGCGACGCCCAGATGATGCTCCCTGGCCTGCTGGGTGAGGACCCCCACAGTGAGAGCAGGGGACGGAGGCAGAGGGAGCAGCTCCGGGAGTGGCTCCTCCAGCAGCAGGGGGAGCAGGCAGCAGAGAGGCAGCGACAGACGCTGGAGGGTAGGTGGTGATCCCATAGTAGAATCAAGATTCAAAGGCTTTACTGTCTGTTTATACACAGCAGCTACAGTGAGGATATGGCAATGAAAATCTTAATGGTCCTCTATTACACTGTTTTTCATCAATATATTATAGGTCTCTAATATATACAAAACATGTCTCTGAAGTGTTTGGCTGAAATACCAAACAGATCATGCATTGTAGCATCCCGTAAACCTCTCTGTTTCAGCCCTGTTTCAAAAGTGCTGATTCTGTGTCTGTTACTTTAGATGAAAATAAGGAGCCACTCCCCACGCCCCTCTGAGAGATATTTGGGAGGGGTGTTACCTTGGTTGGTGATTGATGGTTACACAAGCCAAAAAATCGTTATGACATCATAAAGTGGCCAAAATCTGATCAGCTCATTTTCAGACAGGTTTTTATATAAATGGATCAGGACAAAAAGTGAGCAAATCTTTTTTCCTGAAACTTTCAGAATCTCTTTACACAGAGGGGACACATGTTTATGTATACAAGACATGAAAAAGTGGATTTTGCATAATAGGTGACCTTTAAGTCCCAGGCTCCTCATACAATGCACCGCAAATATATATAAGAAATAAAACAATAAATATTGCAGGAAGAAACAAATAGAGAGAATAAAATAGCCGACCAATGTGCAGTAATGCAGATGAAGTAAACTATATGAATAATAATAATAATACAAAAAATACAATAAGCTAAATGTTGCAGGAAAGTAAACAAGTAAATGCAAGAGTCTATATACAGATACACAAGAACAGAGAGTACAATTAAATAATGCACAGTGAAGTGAAATTCTGTTTATTTAAATTGTAAGATGCAAACAGATCAATTAATGAACTACTAGGATCAGTTCCCATGCATGAAACGTGACCTTTGTTCTTCTTCACTGCTGTTTTTCAGAGCAGCGCTATGACCTCAGTAGAACATACATGGAGAGAAAAGCTCTGCAGCTTGAGGGCATTGAGATGGAGAGGAGAAAAGCAGAAACTGTCGCCACTAAAGAGTTCAATCTGGCCAAGGTAAGTCACTCAGGTAATCACACGGTCACAAACTTAAATATTTATTTTACTCAAACTCAGATACCCTTATGTAAACAGGGTATGTGTGTACACCTTAAACATGCATGTTTTCAAAGCAATGAAAAATGTATAAAAAAGTGAGTACAGTAGAAAGTCATTTGAAGAAACAAGACAGGAGAACCAGCTCAGGAGCAAAGGAATGTATAGCTGTGGATGCTGGCAGCAGCTAAATGCCTTTTTAGCTACGTAAAAAGTTTTAATGTATGCTATTTTAGAATTGTTTTTTCTTAACCTAGTTTATACTATTCATCTACAGCTCTGGAAAAATGAGTTTGAGTAAAATAAATATTTAAGTTTTATTCAATATCTACTGACAACATTTTAAACAAGTTTTAAATACAAATAGTCATTTAGATAATGAATTGTAAAACAATGACAACTGGTCCAAATAACAAAAAACTGCAGTGTTTTTTCAGACTCCCAATAATGCAAAGAAAATAAGTTTGTATTCATTTGAACCACACTTTTGAAATGTTTTTAACAAAGGAAAATAATGTTTGGTGGAATAGCGCTGTTTTACAATGACAGCTTTCATGTGACCTGGCATCCTCAGTACCAGTCTGTCTTGTTGCTGTTTGTTGACCCGATGCCACTCCTAGCAAAACTATTCAAGCTGCTTGTTTTTCTTTTGGCTTGTATTCACCAGTCTTTATCTCGATCACACACAGGAGTCTTTCATCATGAAATGCCACTCCTCAACCGTTTGGGGACATGTAATTACAGCAGCCGAGCCTTTCACTGTGCTGACTGGTACAACTGGCTCCTAAATACAGTGCTGGAGTTTTATCAAGGTTACATTACAGTCCTGCACACAGGTTTCTTGATTTCAATGATATAAAGGTCTGGAGATTTAGGTCGGACGTCGACGAAAAGGTTAATAGTAGCCAAATGGCAGTACTACAACTTATGTGACTGAAGGGCCAAAAAAACGTTTCCCATTGACTTACATTGGGAAAGAGAGGTCTGTAAATCAACTACCCAGTACAGAGCTGAATCCAGAGTTATTTTCTTTTACTGAGCTGAGAGTGGGAGATCGGAGGCTCTAAGCACGCCCGCTCTATGGGCCCAGACACGGGTACTGACAAACTAAAAATAGTTTCAAAAGTCTCTTAATTTCTTTCAGAGCATTTTACCACTGACTCAGTACGCTGGAGTAACTGGGCTACAGCTGCCTTCCTCTGTTAGTTTGTTGTGTTCCTGTGTGACTATGTTGAATCTGAACCAAACTTTAAAACACTTCAGTCACTCCACTTCCACGCCGACGATGTCCAGCCCTACATTTCCACACACTCCTTCTCCACTCTCACCAACTGCCTCCCTGAAATGGTAATCATCAGTCCCAAATCCCTCACCAAAAACAATATGACTACTGAATTTCAAACAAGTTTCGAATACATATTGTCATTTAGAGAAAGTATTTTTAAACAATGACAACTGATCAAACGGGTCACTAAAAAGGAATCTTTCCACCTCAAAATCACTCTCCTTCTCTGCTGCAGAAACACTTAACCATGCTTTCATCTCGTCACAAAATGACTGCGCCAGTATCCTTAACGGTACACCATCCAAACTTCTCAAAAAGAATCCAGTACATCTGCAGCCCGTCTCCTCACCCACACCTGCTCCAGTGACCACATCACCCCCCCAATGGATCCATTTCAAAATCCTCCCCCTCACCTACAAAGCCCTCCATAACTAGGCCCCCCTCCTACCTCACCAACCTGCCCCACACCACACTCCTTCCTGCACCCTCCGCTCCTCAGACGCCAGCCTCCTGGTTCCACCTTGAAGGACCAAGCACCGGACCTGGGAGGGGACAGAGCCTTTTCCATCACTGCCCCCTACCTCCCCCCAAACACATCTGTGACTGCACCAATCTGTCTTCATTTAAATGTAAATCAAAACTCACCTTTTCAAAACTGCTTTTCATTTGTAGTTATTGTGTTTTATACATTTTAAGTGTGTTGTTTTAATGGATTTTAGCATGTAAAGTGTCTTTGAGTACCCCTAAAAGAGCTCTATAACTCCTCAAAATCACAAAGGACCTTCTCCTCTCCTCCAACGCCGGTAACCTCAACATCCTCATCCTCCTTGACCTCAGCGCTGCCTTCGACACCATCAATCACTCCATCCTCCTCACCCGTCTTGAAACCACCTTCAACATCACCAGCACTGCCCTCTCTTGGTTCACATCATACCTCTCTGATAGAAACCAGTTCATCTACATCAGGGGTGTCAAACTCAAATACATAGTGGGCCAAAATAATAAAATGGGTTCTATTCGAGGGCCGGACTGGTTCAATGTTAATTTCAAAACGTATTGAAATGAACTTATTGCACATATTAAACATGGGACTAACAAAGCTTAAATTATTGCCTATAAAAACAACATTAAACATTAAATTATCAGTTGCATTCATTTCTTATGGCTCTATCTGCAGCTTTTCCGGAGTCATTTCTCATGATTACATTTTTCCACAGGCCAACAACAGCTTCAAAAAAACTATTTCCCTCAAAGAAAAAAACAAACATGCCCTGTTGTCGCAAGAAACAAAGTGCAGAAGGAAACTTCCATGTAAACTCAGTCTGCTGCTCTGTGGTGCTAGTTCAAGCCAGATACTTGGCATCTCATCTTGGGTGCAAGTTCATCAATGTTCGGGGTCAGGCTCTGAGCTGAGGAAACCCTCAGGATTGAGTGAAGGTGTGCGTGCAATATACCGGCGGGCCAGATCTAATAGTAATTTGAAATTATCCTACGGGCCGAAATTAAATCCTCCACGGGCCTGATTTGGCTCCCGGGCCTTGAGTTTGACACATGTGATCTACATCAATAACTGCAAATCCCCCACCGCTCCTCTCCCACAAGGTGTCCCCCAAGGTTCAGTTCTCGGCCCCCTCCTTTTCATCCTCTACCTGCTTCCCCTTGGTCACTTAATCCGCCGTCATGGACTTCAATTCCACTGCTTTGCCGACGACATCCAGCTTCTCATCTCCACCAAGTCCATCTCCACTGCTACCCACTCCATCCTGACAAACTGCATTACTGAAATAAAATCCTGGCTCCAACTCAATTTCCTCAAACTCAACTGCGATAAATCTGAAATAATAATCATTGGACAAAAAAAGCTCATCACATCTATCCATATCTTCACCCTCAACATAGACGGCTTCCCAGTTCAAACCTCCCCTCACATCCGGAACCTATAATTGACCAAACCCTCTCCTACAACAAATACATCAAACAGATCACCAAGACAGCCTTCTTCCACCTCAAAAACATCGCCCGTCTACGTCCATCCCTCTCCCCCACTGCTGCAGAAACCCTCATCCATGCCTTCATCACCTCCCGTCTGGACTATTGCAACAGCCTCCTCTATGGTTCACTTGCAAAAATCCTCAACAAACTTCAATACATCCAGAACTCCGCCGCCCGTCTACTCACCAACACCCGAATCTGTGAACACATTACCCCCGTCCTCATCAAGCTCCACTGGCTCCCCATCCCCCAGATAATTCAGTACAAAATCCTCCTAATGACATACAAAGCCCTCCATAACCTGGCCCCATCCTACCTGACTGACCTCCTCCACAGACACACTCCCACTCGCTCCCTCCGCTCTGCTGCTGCCAACCTCCTGTCCCTCCCCACCCGGACCAACCTCAAGTCCTGGGGCGGCAGAGCCTTCTCCGTTGCTGCACCCACCCTCTGGAACTCACTACCCCAATCCATCAGAGATTCTTCCTCCCTCACCGCAATACAAACATCACTCAAAACCCACCTGTTATACAAGTATAATGTATTATTATTATTATTATAAATAAAACGTAATATTATAATATTACAAACACCAATCAAAGTGGCGTAGGCCAGCAACGTTTGTGTTCTGGGAAGTCAAATGACAGATTTATGTCAAAGGAGTGGTGGATTTGAAGAGATCATAGATTAGCTTTAGTTCCACGTAAGAGAAGGCAGTATGAGGCAAGGGTAAGCGGTGACAATATTCTAAATGTAGTGTAAATATGCTTTTATGTTTTTTAGAGGAGAGTCCTTTAGGCAAGTTAATTAATAATTAACTACCATTTAATTAAAAAGTTAACATCATGCATGTTTTTGATGAAAGTCTGACATACTTGTTTCTTTGTTTTTAAATGTGCTGTCGTATGGTTTTGCATCCAGTTTTTAAATTAAAACTGAGAAAACGTTTATCGCATTGATTTCTTTAATCCAAAGACAGAAGAGAAACGTCGCCAGGATGGGGAACGTCATGTCAGAGGTGATGTAGCAGGAGCCACGATGAACATCCTGCAGGAGCAGCTGACGGGTGTAGCTCTCCAGCGCCCCCTGGTGCCTGACCTCTGCCCCAGCAGTCACAGGAGAGCACTTCCAGAGAGCCTGCAGCAGATCATCCAGTTCCAGAAATATCAGATTGAGGAGAAAAAGGTCAAATAAGGGAAGAGATATTCTCAAATCTAACGCTCTTTTTCAAAGTTCTAAAAGCTTGTTCTGTGTGCAGAGGGTGGAACTAGAGAAAAAGGGAGACGAGGAGCAACATGCTCGCATGCGCATGGACTCGGCTCGCACCGCTCTCTTATTGGAGAGGCAGCAGGCCAGACTGGACCGGCAGGAGAGACAACATGTGGACAGAGCCAACGTCCTGATGGCCCAGACACACAAGCAACAGTCAGTGTTCACTCTACACACACAGTGTTTAGACACAAATAAACCATTGTCTCACTCTGTTTCTGAACTGGTTTCGTTTTTTAGGAAACCGGACATAGAAAGAGGAAGCATTGACGACAGCTTCTTCTCCAAATTCAACACCTGCAGCAGATGAAGGATGACTCATAACAGGGGCTGCTGAGGATGAAGCTACATGAGAAGAACACTGAATAAACTGAAGCACACAGAGTTGTTTTTAAATCATGTCAGAATTTAGATATTGGATGATTGTAACAGTTTATATGAATCTTGGCTACCGTTGCAAAAATGAGCGAAAGAAAGAAATGGTATACTTTTAGTTTTCAGTGAGGTTCTTTATGGGTAACATATCGTCAGCTATGCCACTTTTTATATCCACAGCTAAAAAATATCTTATTACACGGCTTGGCTGAATACTCAATTTTGATTGGTCCATTTGGACATTTCAGAGGTTGTTAATAGTCGTGAACAGACCGCTGCTTAGGCGTTGCAAAAATGAGCGAAATAAATCAATTGTATACTTTTAGTTTTCAGTGAGGTTCTTTATGGGTAACATAAAGATCCCTTTTTTTACAACAGCTGAAAAATGACATTCAAGTTTAAATTAAACTCTCTTTTAGGAACAGTGTTTATCAAAGCCCTCAGGATTGAACAGGCTACACTCTTACAAAACACAAGCACACTATGGAGACATCAAACAACATGTAGTTAACAATGACGTCCATTAATGCACCCTTACAAACATGGCCAACCTAACTCTTAAGGTGCAAAGACATTAAAAAAGCGTTTGATTGAAGCTATTGTATAGTTCTAGTAATTGCCCTAAATGTTATATCACATAACTCAGGTCAGTTTCACAGCAGATACATATGACGTCACTGGCGCTGTCATATTCAGTCTTTCTTCATTTCCTCTTTTATCCCAGACCTTTTCGTCTGTAACATCCCAAATTGTCTTGTGTGAAAAAGAACAAAACTGAACCCTAACTAACTTTAATGTCCCTTATTTTTGCCACCACAAACTCGCTCACCTTTAAAGCACTGTTCCACTTTCAATTTATCCTTGCTCCAAGGCATTCCTTTGCGCAAAGGAAGAATCAAGTCAATGCCCAAAATGATATATAAAAATGTCTCTTTAAAAAGCATTTTCAGACACAAACTTATCCCATTTTCTCTGCCACAGAGCCAGGGCTTTCTGCTGTTGCTTCGGAGTCAAAGAGCTGTACCTGCAACACAGACAGAGAGATGTCAATGAACGGTCAGTTCATTTTTTATTTGTAAATCTCTTCTCATCACTGTTGAACTTTACCTAATAGAGTTAATGGCCAGCTCTATGAGGGAGCCTAAATTGGATCTCATCCCACCAAAGCCCACAAAAGCTTCATAGAAGTCATAAGAGAGTCCGGAGGAGCCGAACATGCCCGGGTCATCGGAGCTGATCACCAGCGGGTGGTTCTCCGACATCAGAGCGACTGCAGGGTGGTTACGCAAATCTTTCACCAGCTTCATCACCTGAACAAGGACAGGAGAGGAGATATTGGATTACAAGAAGCTAGATCAACACAATCGTAGCCTCATGTTGATAGGATTTTCAGAAGTGCTGTCTACGTTAATGAATTATGGCTCTGCGAGAAATCTGGAAACCTAAACACCTAGTGCACATTATACAGATGGGAATCACAGCGGCTCGATGTGACAGCGGCTGTGTTGATGCTTTAGCTAAGTGTCAGAACATGAGCAGACATTTAGCACACACAGCAGAGCTATGAGTTTAGCATGCCTCTGCAAATTACGTGCAATTCATGCCATCAATCATCAAAACAAAAAATAAACATTGTGCATTACTTTATTACAACAACACAAATGTATAAAATACAAGTAAATACTTCAGACTGGGGTTTGATCATGATTTATAAGATAATTATTAAGATACCTGATTACATTTTTTTAAGTGATTGACATAACTCATTTTAACTTTTACAATTAAGTAGCTGGAAAAAATAATTTGTTTGTATATTTTGGTTTACAAGATGAGAGTGTACCTGGTTTGAGATGGGGCAGACTTCCACAGCCACACCCCTCTTTCTGGATAGACCTTTGGCCACGGGGTGGCGGAGCAGAGCAAAGCCATGGCCAATTCTGGACGTGTTAAACAATAGAGCATCCAACAAGTTCTGGTCCACCTCTGAGCCCTCCAGATCTGCTCGTAGCAGAGAAGAAATCAAAAACGTGTTTATAGAAGACAGTGTTCTTGAATGACTCTTCTTTAACCCTAAATTCCACAGTTGGTAATAAGGCAATGTTCGGCTATTTACCGACATTTATCTTTCCATGACAAGTTGAAGGGTTTGTTGTCAGCTTAGCTAAACTCCTGTAGTAGCCTCTATGCTTAAAATGAACACATCAGTCATTGTCTGGATGAACCTCTAAGCCCCATGCTGCAGGATATGATTTGTAAAACTGAATGCTCAGGAGCTCACCTGTCTCCCCCGCATGGAAAAAGTAAGGCAGCGTCACCCCTCTCTCTGCCGGCAGTGACAAAGCATCTTTGAAGTACCACAGGGGTCTGCCGCTGTCCTCACGGCCCACCTGTAAGTAGAGAGGGAGTAAACAATATGATTGTTATGTTTACTTTCACTGATTCAGGCACGTGTGTGTGGTTTAAAGCGGCTTACAATCGTACTATTTGCATTGTAAGTGAAACAAAAAATCTGTACAAACTAGGGCTGTTCAATCAGAGATATCGGCCACAAAGTTCAGTAAGATCTCTTATTACACAGCCGAGTCGAATACTTTTGTCTACTAATTTAGACATTTCAGATGTTTTTAATACTAGCTAACAGACTGTAAAGAATGATTAAGGGAATATGGGCAGCGATATCGATTCGCAGAACCGAAGTCCAGTAAAGAGGCTCTATTTTGCTTTTTGGGGTTGTTCTTTTTCCTGAAGTGTGTAAGATGGGTTTATGTGCATGTAAATGGTCTACAAAGGCTAAAATCCCTAAGTTCCCGCCCGCCCTGCATGACTGTCTCGATTATACTCCTTTGTTTACTTCTGTAACATAGCAACATCATTATGTTACGCTCCCGGGTCGAAATTATGTATATATATATATATACAGTATAAAGACATTGATCCATATTGCACAGAAATTGTAGGGTTGACATTTTATGATTTCACAAAATATTTAAACAATGAAGAATGTTGATAAATAATCATCACTACCGGTAATGTGTATATAATAACTTAGTTGGTAAAAGCCAATAGTAAAACAGTCAATGACAATCATTTGAGGAAACACTTAAGATGTTACAATTTCAAATAGTTAGTCTCATATCACGATATTGATATAGTATTGATATATTACCCAGCCCTAGTAAAGACTGGAGAAGTGGTGCGATAACTTGAACTCCTCACCATGTCAAAGCCAGCCATGATGTCTGGGAAGTCTCTCTGTAGCTTCATCGCCTCCTCCACAGCTCGGGCCATCATGGATGCATTCACTCCTCTGAAGAATACAGTACAGTGCAGAGTGTTATTATATGATATCAACTTCATCTTATGTCAATCCTTCATAGTTATAAGTCAAATCTGTTGTTGGGGAGGTCACCTATGGATTGTGTAGATCATTCTCACTCCAAAGAAGTCCGGGTGTTCTGCTGTGAACTGTCGGGTGACCTCCTGGTACGTCTTCAGAGTCCACGCTGGGTCATGAGTGCTGCCGTCCAACTCGTATATCTGAGTACCAGAAAACACACTCAATAACAATTATAATACCAGTGTTTCCAGTTAGATAGTATTTACCGGATTTTGACCAGTTAAATCTGTTTGGGTCCGACAAATTTAATTCTCTGCGGCTATAATGTTCTGCGGAAATAATCAGCAATAAGCAACATTTGAAGTGTATCAATAATAAGATCTCATCGATGCCACAAGTATGCAACAAGATGCCATCGCTGTTAGGATAGCGGTTATGGAAGCTTGAATTTCTCAACGGCCTAAAGAGTCTTCATCAGTGTATTCAGCTAAATGAATCCTGAGTAGTTAAAATGTTACGAGTCAGACAGACTTGACAAATGGCTTTTCTCGGTTTTATTTTATATGAGAATATGTAGGTCTATAGCTGAGGGAAAATGGTCTGCAAAGTCTAAAATCCCAGAAGTTCCCTCCAGAGGGAGTTTCTCTCCCACACAACACACACTGAAACGCCTCAATTGGACCATTTTTTTTACTTCCATAACATATTGACATCACTATGTAGGACATATGACAGGCCAAGGGGCGGGACATCTCCAAGCGGTTGACCAATCACAACAGAGCCGGCCAGCTAACTAATCAGAGCAGACTGGGCTCTGGTTTCAGACAGAGGGTGAAAAAAGGTGCTGCAGCACATGAGAAAGATTACCTCCGGGAGTAGAGCTCGCACTTCCATGTACATGACGTTGTCCCTGTAGAACTGGGAGAGACCTTGGTAGTAATAGTCTCTGAACACAGGAGCGTATGTGACCAGACCCCACAGAGCAAGGAAGCACTGTTCAAATATTTTCCAGATCACATCCTGACTGGGATACACCAATTCTGGATCCTGATCAGTGAAGAGCGTCATGTTGGCCATGAGGCTGGGAATGTAAAGACATGGTTTGGATCAGATGATCTGCGTCAATTTCTGGTCAATTTACCACTGTCGAAAAAGCTTTTAAATGAGTAATCTAAAGTATATACACAGGATGATTACAGAATTAACTATTATATGGGACATTTCAATACTGCCATTCTTACTGACAAAGATATAGTATCTTATATATAATATGTTTTTATTGCTAACACACTACAATGCTGCATTAGTATTAAAACTGACAATCAGAACACAAAACCTTAGGCAAAGGAACTTGACATAAATGTTTTTGTCTTTTTCTGAACACTGTCTTGACTTATCAATCTGCATGTAAACACTATAAAGAAGTCAACCGGTAAGTACATTTAAAAACTGTATATTGCACATTACTGCATGTATTTCTGTAGCCTTGAATTACATTTCTTTGTAGAATTTTGCTAAATTCAGAACTATTATCATGACCATTTAAGATGCAAGTACTTTTGATTGAAGTATGTGATTGGTTGTAGAACAAATCACCTCTGGCTGGCAGAGAGAAGTGTCTCCTCTTCCATAACTCAGAACACTTTGCACAACAGCTAATTGCACAGTTTAATGTATATTCAATCCAATGCCATTAAGTGTCTACAGTATATTTATATATATTCATGTAGCCTAGACTATATATTGTACTCCATTTATTCAATATTTTGTTATATTGTGTATTATTTAGAAACTATAGGGATAAATGTATTTTCTATTGTGAATTTGTATACACACAAGTTACTAGTGTCAATTAGTATTTTGAATTTATATATATTTATATATTCTTGCTGCTAATGTTAATTTGATTTTTTGTTATATTTGTATCTTATTGTATCTTTTAAACATGTTTAACTAATGTAATGCTTGACACTGCTGCTGGGACAAAA